TTTCGGTACCACTTTGTAATGTAGCCATTTTCTGATAGGTGAATTTGTACGCTCAAAAATGGAAGCCATTTTTCTTTCGGTTTTTCTCGGGTGAACTTGATATACTCTGACTGTGCATTTAGCAACTCGAAACATTTGTCCATTTCCTCTTGTGTTGAGCAAAGAACAAAACAGTCATCTATATATCTACAGCAGAGTAGCGGCCCCAGATCAATCACCGGTGCTTCCGCCTTAGACATAAACGCAATGGCAAGACTTGGAGCCAGTCGTTGTCCCATTGCCAACCCTCTTATTTGAGCGTAGTACTTTCCAGACCATCTGAAGATTGAGCAGCTCAAGCATTCTTTTAAGAGTGCCATCAGGTGCTCTATCCTGAAGCCATACATGTTTATTTCTCCTTCGTGTTGTGTAAGGAGTTCGAATATGGCTTGCATTGCGGAGTCATTCGACACGTTTGTATAAAGGGCGGTAACGTCGAAGGACTCCATCATGCACGCGCTGTTGGACTGCGCAGTACGTAGACGATCCAGAAACATCTGGGTATTCGTAAGATGGGCTGGAATGTGTTTCAACAACTGGTTAAATATTAGGGTTAAAATCCATGTTAAAAAATTTCTCTTTAATAGTGGCAGTTTTATATACCAACAAAGCATATAGTCGTATTATTTTCTTGAAGTTTACTTCTTTGTCGCTTAGTCATCAGTTTATCTTTTTACCAGTACAAAGAAATTTGGCCTAATTTTTTTGTGGTTTTTCCTTCAGAAAATTTTTGAAGACTCTTTATTAAGCTGGAAATAGCAAGAACACAACGGAAACGTACCAATACCAGAGGGCTAAGGCGTTCTATAAAATTCTGAAGCATAAATTACGCATCCATCCCTCATTCGGTTAAGCAAACACCTCCAACACTCTACATCTTTTGCAACAGTTGATATTATTTGAGTTGGAGCGAGAAACCTAGCTCTGTTTCAGGTACTGATTCCACTTGGTAAGATCGATCTTGGTCAAGTGATTGAAGAGTGGAAGGACATTGCACCTCCACCCGACGACAAAGAAGCTGTCAGTTTTTTGAATCTATTTCTTCTTCGTTTTATTCCACCTTCAGTGTACAAAAATCTTTTTTTATCTCAGGTGAGATGGTAGAAAAACAAACTTGCCTATAGCTGATAAAATTGGCTGTCATTACATCACTTAAAACTCAGTCAGCAGCATTTCGTTTTCAGTTGCCTGTTTAAAAAGGTTTCGCTCTATTGAATTTCGAGAAGAATATGTGTAGAAAAGTGATAAAATTTTTATATTATGTAGATCTTGAGGGAATAGGACGTGTTGAAATTTTTAAAACTAGGATAGGAGAACAAGACAAAAAACGGTGAAAAGCGGGTTTTGGTAACATTTTGTGCTAACAGCCAAATCGGGTTGAGATAGCTTTTTTATTGTTTTTTAATTGCTTTCTAAATATTGCTGTGATTAGTATGGCTGTTTTCATACTCCTCTCCAACTACGTCTTTTGGTCGTAGAAGCTCGCCTTGCAATCTGACAAGCATCGTCTTACTTAAAAGTATAGAAAGGATAAAGCTATCGGCATTGATCAATCCCTTAGGGATGCGCCATGCATTCGAACTCATTAAGCATCCTTGGAAACGGCCGAATGCATATCTGGCTTTATAATGACTCTCGTTGACCTACTGATGTATCGAGCTAGTGCTGCTATCCTCTGAGACAAGTCTGCTATAAATTTGCCGCCGCCGGAAGGATGGAGGGCTTAGTGAGCCAGGGACCGCGGGAATCGATCCCATGTGTATTGCAGGGCGCCTCCGACCACAGCACCACACGCGCTCTTCGTCTAATTTAATCGTCGCTAAAACGTTGCGATTATGTTGGTCCACAGAGTGTCGAGCTGGACTCGATGTCATTTCTTTTTAATGGATGAAGCTCAGTGCGACCAAGTAGCCAGAACTCCTCGAATGTAATTCGGAACGCTGAAAAAACAAAGCAACTCAATTTGACGCTTAGTCAATATTCTCTATTGATACTGTTGATCTATTTTCACTGTTGAGCGCGTAACCACGGGTTTTTGTCTTTTCTCATTCTAATACAGACGAAATTTAAAATGTAGAAATAAAAGGATAAAGCTCTCGGCGTTGATCAATCCCTGAGAGATGCGCCGTGCATTCGACTTCATTGAGTACCGTTGGAGGTGACTGAATGCATATCTGGCCTTTACAATGACTCGTGGTGGTCTACCGATATATCGAGCCAGTGCTGTTATCCTCCCAGACAAGTCTGGTACCAACTTGCCGACCCCGGAGGGAAGGAAGGCTTGGTGAACCATGGGCGCGGATTGATTCGACGTGTGCCGCAGTGGCGCCACCAACCACTGCACTACAAGCGCCCTTTTACTTAAAAGATAATAAGGATAAAGGTTCCGTCATGTGCTGGACTGCCGTGGTCATGGTAGTGATAAGTAAATGGTTGTTTGGCGTAAATAATTGCTTGCAGTGGCCTAATGAATGCGTCAAATCACGGTTCCTACCCTGCTAGACAATTCTTGTACCCATTAGCAGACTAGTGCGGGATGGTCTGCTTTATTTGCCCAGGGCGCCGGATTGCATCCATGATCGTGCTTCATAAATGCACCTCTTGGCACTGCATTACGAGCGTTTGTGACCTTGTCCTATAGCTTTTATAATACTTTCAATAGTACGAAATGTAATAGAAATGTCATTCCAGGTGTCGTTCCACTTCTCCTACCTTAACTGTGTACCAATTAATTCACTAAGTGTTGCTGTGGAACAGAACCAACGTTTAAATGTGTTTCTTCCCTTCACATTTTAAAATTTCGTGCAATGTGGAAAGTGAATTTACCGAAAAGTGAACATAGTGAAGGTGCAAAGTGATTTCGTTCGCGCTTCGAGAAAAATAAAAACCATTGTTAGTATAATACCTACTTCGATACTTGGATGGCCTGTTTCCACTGATTGTTTGGGCTCCAGCATCATCTCCATTCTTTAGCGATTTGTAGCCATTGTGGTTCCCAGGAGTTCCGATGTCAGCCAAGCCAAAGTCTGTCCCAGGTCATCACCACCACAGGCAGTCACCGCCCTTGTGGATCACTTGGTCGTTACCACCACACCCACTGCCATACTTGTGGGTCAGAAGGAGGCTTGCCATCAAGCGACTAGTTTGATACCAGGACGGTTGTGGATCCTAGTATTTGATGGAAACGCCGGACTCCTTCTCAGCTTGGGAAACCCTGCTGGGAGATGAATTCCTCATAACACATAGCAGCCCGTCACCTAGGAACTCCTCCCGGCCACGCTGAGGCGGTTAACCGTTGCGAGGGTTAGTATAATAGTTTCTTAAAAAGTCACTTTGCATATTTTTGAATAAGCTTATATGAGATTTGATACATAAATGATCTTTTATTCACCAGCAACATCTTTAGTTTTTAATTTCACTTGTACCTAGCATTTGACATATCCATCTTTTCGTGATTCATCTTCAACGACTTAAGGAGAAAAGCCTTGGCGATATATGTTTTTCTCTACGATATGTTCCCACAGCCGGAAAGCTAACAGTAGTCATATTGGAGGCAAAAAATTTGAAGAAAATGGACGTTGGTGGATTATCAGGTAAGATTTCCTTGAGATTTCCCATGACTAATTAGAGTGCCCATTGGGTTTTCTCTGTGATGATTCCATCTTTAGTCCAGTATGACTATGTCGCCGTAGATACCTGTGCAGTATGGTAAACTTCAAAAAACCACTGTGGTAGACAAGGTCTACAGTCAAAATAAACAAGACTAGTTTGTCCTACGCATAAAGTTTTATAATCTTTCAGGTGGTATATTTATGATATACTTCACACTTAAACTGTCCATGAATTTTAGAAACTATGAATAATAAATAAATGATAAAGCTCTCGGCGTTGATCAATCTCTGAGAGATGCGCCGTGCATTCGACTTCATTAGATATCGTTGGAGGTGATTGAATGCATATCTTGCCTTTACAATGACTCGCGGTGGCCTACCGATGTACTGAGACAGTGCTGCTATCCTCCCAGACAAGTTTGGTACAAATTTGCCGACCCCGGAGGGATGGAAGGTTTGGTGGGCCCATGGGTGCGGGGATCGATACCACGTGTGTGTCGCAGTGGCGCCTCCAACCACTGCTCCACACACGCCCTTAAGAAACCATATGTAACACTAATTTGGCAAAGAGTTTTAATGCACATAACAGTATCTTTATCTGTACGATTCTAAATATTCGTCGCATCTACCACAAGTTGTGCATCTCTTGAATAACATCAGTCCAGTTTGTCCCTATCGTATGGACATACCATCAATGGTTGGCCTGAGTCAATTTGATATTTAGTCCAAAAATCTGATCTGAACCTGCTCTTGTTGAAACGATATTATTACAACAATAATTTTCAGATCCATACGTGAAGATTGTACTCATGCAAGGCGGCAAACGATTAAAAAAGAAAAAAACCTCAATTAAAAAGTGCACTCTCAATCCATACTATAACGAATCGTTCTCGTTTGAAGTGCCATTCGAGCAAATACAGGTGTGTAGAAATGCTTATTTTCATTCAGTAAACAATCCAAATTTTTCGTAGAAAGGGATCCATGGTAGTTATGAGTGAGAACGGTTGAAGTAACTTACATACATTTTCATGCCACTTGTCTTCGAAATATAGGAACAAACACTTCAAGGTTTTTGTATCCTCCGCGATTAGGTTCGAAATGAGGGTATTCGAAGTTTGAGGTAGGAACTATACGGTACCTGCCGATGGCATTATGTCAAGCCACGAAACCTCCTCATAGACTGTTTTACCTCAAATCCTTATCGTCGTGTTTCCGACCAAATTCTTTTTTATTAGGTAATTGTTTTGTTTGGATACACTATTGTGTTAAAAAAGTGTGCTGATACTGCAATGTTTTTAACATAGACTGGCTGGATGGAAAGAGTCCTTTACAGCTTTTCAAGCGCTCGCTGAACCCCATTTAATCACACTGCAAATTTGTCAGTAATGGCAAGTTGAAGCCAACATTGAAGCTATAAAGTAGCTGAGATTCAAACTTATCAGTCACAATAGGGTCCATGAAAACCACAAACATTTTTTGCCGACAGGATCCAAGTTTCCTCACCCCGGTCGCGTACGGCCGCTATGTTCTGTAAGCGGCAAGTTCTGGGAGTACATTTATCACCAATTTCTTGGTTATTCAACTTTTTTTAGCAAACAGTTGGCAAGGTGTACGAAAAAGTGTATTCGGTTAGTGAGAGATTAGATGAGCACACTGCAGTGGTCGAATTCTTTCCTTGATCTCAATTCTGCCTCGCTAGCTGAGAATCGTGTGAATGATCGTTGTCTTGAACCGTTTCTGTTGACGTGCTGTATAATTATACCACAACTTTTGACACATTTCATCGTTTTCGTGGAACTGCCTCATTGGCGTGAAGGTTTCGCTGCCAGGTTTCAAGGAGTGATAAGTGGTCCTATTTGCCGGAAATAAAAAGTCATCACTACTATTTATTGATGCAAAGTTTACCACTGAAGAGGGCTTAGTGGCTTCTTCTCGGTCCAACCACTACGACGAACGTCGCTGGTTTTCCGACAGGGTCCCTACTTCGTCGCAAATCACAATGCGGTCATGGAATAGGTTGTTTTTGTTGCGTAAAAGTTGTGAAGGGTGGGGACATTATGACCGCGATCTCTCTGCTGCTCTTTCAATTCATGCACTGCCCATTTATCAAGCTGTTTCACTTTTCCAACGTTTTTCACAGATGGAACGATTGTTAAATGGCTCATATTTAATTCTTCTACGACTTGTTCACTAGTTTTAGATAGTCAGCCTAAGCTAGCTTCTTCAGATGGTAGCAGTCAACTGTTCAGTGTGCCCATAACCCTCGCTTTCAAAACCTGTATCCCCGGTACGAAACCTCAGAAACAGTCTACACAATATTCGTTCGAAACAGTAATCCCTAACCCATGGTTTTGACATTTCGTTTCACTTCACACAACGGTGATCGAAAGTTCAGGGGTGTAGATCAAAACGATCATTTTAACAGTCTTAAGGCCATTTTACTCTGTCTTAGGGAAAGCACTACACTAGTTAAGCGGGAAATCAGCTCCAACTTTTTATGCAGGATCCATAGGATCAATATAAGCGACAAATGTTTTCTACAAACAATGCGGTTGTAAAATTTGCAATGACAAAGATGGGTATTATGTTTAACCCAGCTTGTGCGTCGATTTGTAAACAAAAATATGTCGAAGCACCGATTTCCTTAGCATTCATGCACTAAACTCGAATTCTTTCGATTTTCCGTCCCAGTTTATGAAGGCCTTTGTTATACCCTCAACGCTAATGCCTCTCTTTCATAACGAACAAGTGATTCGAATGGTGAAGACCCAATGTTACAAAACGCTTTATACCTTGCTTCTATACTAATGTGCATCTATCATATCCTTCTCAAATATCCCAATCAATTCTTGCTTTCAGAAAGTCTCACTTATGATTACCGTAATGGATTACGATAAACTCGGATCGAATGATGCTATTGGAAGATGTCTTCTCGGATGTAATGCCACAGGAGCAGAATTGAGGTCAGCAACAAGTGTTTTTTGGGATAGACCTTTGGACTTGTTAGGTTGATATATAGTGTAAAAAAGAGTAATGCTCTTGGCGTTGATCGTTCCCTGATAGAAGCGACATGCATTCGACTTCATTAAGCATCGATGGAGGTGATTCAATGCACATCTGGCCTTTACAATGACTCGCAGTGGCCTACCGATCTATCGAGCGAGTGCTGCTGTCCTCTCAAAAAAGTCTAGCACCAATCTGCTGAGCCTGTAGGGGTGGGGAGCTTGGTGGGCCTTGGGCTTGGGGATCGATCCCATGTGTATTGCAGAGCGCCTCCGACCACTGCGCTACAGGCGCCCTAATATGCAGTGATATCTAGCAGGTTAAATTTTAAGATGTCCTAAATTCTAACTATGACTGGAGATAGTATGTCTCTGTAGTCTAAGCTACTATCCGATTCTCTTACAGTAATTAGCTCTTTGAATATCTGTAAAGCTAAAATCGAGATTTAACTCTTATTCACTGTCTATTCTTCTTCATCGCAGGATATAATGTGAACTACAACCACAAGGATGTCAAAGTGAGAACAAAACTCGGACCCTCAGCTGGACATCGAACCTGTTTTACCGAGTTTGGCTAATATCAAAGCATCCCTATGGTTGTATTTCACATCATAGATTGCTGCAAAAATGAATAATCAAAAGGAAAATAAATGCTGTAACGCTGTTATTTCGACTGTAGCTTCAGGTTAACTGGGCTGTGTCGACTTGTGCTTTTCAGATCGCTTCCGCTCACCGGGGATTGCGAATACCATCATTAGAGTAAAAAATTGGCTGAAGAAAAGCCAAAGTAAGGGCCTCGGTGGTGTAGTGGGTAACATGTGAGTCCCAAGTAGCGGTAATCGCGGGCTCTAAAATCTTGTATTTCGATAGTCACTTCAATATGTGAGGATGTCACATACGTTTCAGTCGTCATATAAATTTTAGCAAAGATCTCAAACGCAATGAAATGTTTAGTTTGCAAAAATATATGAGACATTGTTGCAACCCCAGCTCAAACTGGAAGCATGCGATGCAACCAGAGTGGGATTAATTGGGATAAAAGCTCATTTATGTAAAGGACTCTGTCCTGTTTATAGGCTGTCAAGTCGTTGTCTCTGACACAAGTCGTTAGGCATTAAATTTGCGTTCAGTGCATCAACGACTTTATTAGAAATTCTTATCTTCGTCTTTAAAGCGAATGGTTGCAGTTCTTTGCATCCTTGGTAACAACCATAATTCCCGAAAATGACTTCCATTTAACATTTGCATGAATTTGAACTTTCGGCGTATTGATAAACCTACACGAAGTTGTTTATAAAAATGTTCTTATCGTAGCTAACGTTCCGACGTCTTGACCCTCTTCAGAACAGAAGTGATTCACTAATGATCATGATTCACGTGCACGGTGCGCTCCGCTCCACTGTATTCGACCAGTTGCAACTATGAAAACCCACAACACAAAAAATAACTGCTTTCTACACGCAATTCAAACCATTGCTTTTAAATAAAGGCTTTCAGGTTGCTAATTAGCCCTAGTCTATTGAACTCGGTCGGGCTTTTAGAAATTATCGCTTTTCTGTTCGATGATCTTTATGAAATTATTGTGCGGAAACCACCTCTAAGCTATTTGTGAAAAACATTGGGAAGATTCCTTAAGGAGTGATTCAGTAAAAGCTAGCCATATACTTGTGTATACGGGCTAATGGGATAGAAAAAAATGAAAGACTTCCAAGAATCGACATTTGTCTCAGGTTAATCATCTTTTCGAGGTTGTAAAAGAAATGAGGACAGCGTCTATGATGGTGATGGATGACATCGAGATTCCATCGTCATCGGACGCATACCGAACGCGAATGCATCGATATGCGCGGACGAGTCTTTGCTAACTAAATTTAATTATTGATAAGATGTGTAATGCTAAAAGGTATAAAAAGGAATGGAAAATAAAAAGTGGCAGAAACAATGTTTGTGGTTAAACGATTTCTACTTTAGAGTCAGAACAACATTTCAACATAGAGGTCAGATTTCACTTGAGGTGCTAGCTCAGGTGTTGGCCTAAAATCTCAGATACGTCAGCTCATGTGCCCAAAATATCTGAAAGAAAATAAATGTTCCTTTCCAGAACAAATCATAGGCAAATAATGAATCAGATGAAGTTGAAGTAGTTAGTGTCCTAGTATCAAATCAGTTTTTTGTTATTGATGCTCGTTGAGAAGTGAATGAAGAACATTAGATCTGATATACTAAGTATTCTTTATACTCTTTATTACCTTTCAACGTCAACTGTAAATGTCCATCGATACAATAATGGTCAATTCAACAGGAAATTTCAATAAAGCTTAATACATAGACTTCTCATTACTATTAACTCGTTTTAAACCTGCAGCGCTTATTCCATTAGAACCCTTTTTGTTCGAATTACCTATAAGTTCCATATTAAAAAGAGTTAATGGCTAAGGTATAGTGTGTAGTGTTTGTAAACTAAGACACCTCACTTCATTCCGTTCTCGCCTCTTCTTCTCCTTTTTATTCTGTAGCATTAAATGAATGTTGGTGATTGTTGATCGAGTCAATTCCTTCGGGAATCCTAAGTAACCGTGCTAGAGCGTTTTGACTTGGAATGATGACCATCGCTTGCCTCCTGACAAGTGTGGTATCAATTTCCTGATCACGACAGGATGAGAGGCTACTCCATGAGCGTACAGTGAGATCGAACCAGCGTCTGAGTACGTTGGTCTCTCCGCGACGACTAGCCTCGTCAATACTGCACCACTCGCCTTCTCATAGTACATAAATTCCGTAAATATCCTCCAATACTATTAGATTTTTACAGCATGCATCACGTTAGGTTTACACGTGATTGCAGAAAATGGTTTAAATTGTGCTTACTACCAATTCAACAATGCACAGCCATAGCCATCCTTGAGAATTCAGGCACTGGATGGACATGCTTGCATCTCCGCGACGGCCGATCGCTCAGTGGCATACGTTGGGACCTGTGGAGGATGAGGCCGAGAAAAAATAGTTCTGAATGCTTCCGTATCGAACTTTAAACTTTCCAGGCAAAAAAAAACCTCTTTTCCTTCATATGTTCTCAAAAATCCACGACCGTGTGCGTTGCTCGATCCTAAGGCTCCTCATCTAGAGGTGTGATTTAGCTTTTCATGATCTCCTGTGTTTACGCACACGATGTTCTCTTCCAAATACATAATGTTATACTCTGTCAAGGTATAACCATGCCATGTTAACTTTGTAATTTTTGTTAAGTTTATTGTACTGTATTTCACTGTATATGTAAGATGTAAGATGTATAGTGGAGGTGGACGCGTCGCTGGTGTAGATGTGGGTAAAGGTACTTCTCAGTTCTTTTTCAATATTCCATTCGAGAAGTTGATGTGTAGTTATAGACATGAGTGAAAATCGAGCAGAATTTGAGCTTAATGTTGTGCTCTCTGGCATAGTTATATAGGCAGAAGCCTTGCCATAAATAAATCACTTCGCGGAGTTCAACAGCAAACAGAAAAAAAAACGGAAGACGAAACCAATCCAGAAATTATGACGATGCCATCGTCATGCATTCCGGATTTTCCGCAAAATTATCGGAAATCGCAAACCTTTTTTGGTGTGGACTAGACATTTACTCCTAAAAAAGTAGGAATAGTTAACACTCGAAAACAACTCTATCCTATTTCCTCACATCGATTTGGGAGACGTTTTTCCATTTCTGGTTCAGACATTCATGATTTCCATGAAATTTGAACGACACTGCGACATATTTTAAAGTACTGCGCTATTTTGATGGTCCCCTTCCTACCAAGACTTGTTTTATCTTAGAACATCGAATCTAATAAGTGGTCCAACAATTTGAACTATTTTGGTACATAATCATAGTATTTTTTTCGGTTTCCTACAATCTCCGTTCTAATTTCCTCTATGCTTTTCTGATTATTCACGACATCACTGGTACCTAATAGGAACAAAAATTGTTAGTACTTTATCAAAAATCTTCATGTTTAGAAACAAAAGTATGGATTGGTAGTTATTTCAGGAGTCGGTAGTTAGTTATTTCCGCACATCCACAACCTCGGACATCGTGGGCGCTCTGCGAACGACTCACTAACGTCTGAAAGTCAAAACGAAACGAACACATGAATCACGATGTGTCCGGTCATAAATATAAAGACATAAATGTCTACGATGTCCTTCACTTGAATCATCTATTCATATATCGAAAGCAAAATAATTTCTACCATCGCACCACCAGAGAAATCCTCGGAAGAAAAGTAAAACGAAAAAGAAATGCGAATTTCCGAAATATATGCGACGGCTGTAATTCACCTAAGTCATATAAAACGTATAAAAGAAGTATAAAGGCTAATAAACGAGCAGAATTTTCTGTCGAAGGTTTTTTCTTGCTTATCCCGTATCCAAATGTAGAAACATTCTTGGAGAGTTCGATTCTCCTACTTATTAGTTGTTAACGCTCTTAGTGCTAGCACTTAATGTCGACACTAATCAGAAACGAGGAGAGATTAGGCACAACGAAGCGATACGTCCAGTAGCCGACTTATCCCAAAGGCATTGCATCCCCAACACATTGCGTCCCAGTAGTTCAATCATTGCCACATCTCTACCCTGTTCCAAAAATGTCAGCTGACGTATGAGTTATAGGCAATTGCATCGTTTCGACCGACTACAGTACATTTTTTCGTGTCTATGGCTTTCAATTCTAAATTATGCAAAATTATATTCAGGTCTCTATCAACAGAGAAATTCAATTTCACTTAATTGTGTATAGTTAGTCTCGTCTGTGCGGGTAGCCTAGTGGTAGTAAGGCCGTTTAATTATACGCGAAGAATTTGGTTCAAACTTCCACCGGACTAACAAAAGTTCTCATCTTTCCGAGGCTAACAAATTGGTACTGCCTCCATAATACCAACGATGGTGATTGTCTATTTGAAACAGGGCACCACACTCAGGATTCCAAGGAGAATCTACCCAATTGACGGCATTCATAACGAATACCGAAATTCTCAAGCAGCAGCAGAACCAACCCACACACCAGTCCAAATGTCTTCGTGGTTGATGGATGCGATGAAACAATTTTAAAGAAGTAATCATACACACTATGGTGTCGAGTCATGTAAAATAAAAATAAAGTAAGTAAAATAGTAAAAAGTAAAATAATGCTAGCTCTACCGTTAATCCGTATCCCTCAATGTTTACAGTGATCTAATGAAATCATCCTGATGAAGATTTATGATGGGATCCGCCCAGATAGCTTTACACATCTGTATTTCTAACCCTCAGTTATACTACGGACCATCCGCTTAGCGTGATTCCAATGAAACAGCGATGAGTTCGTGCCTATTTTCTAGACAACGAAGTCCGATTGAATTTGATGTGCTCCAAGTCCACGTTTAGAACTGGGACCTTAATTGAAAACGGATAAAACGAAGGTGCTGCAATCTAATAGTGTTTTAATGCTAAAGATAGTCGTTTCTATGGTTTCCACCCAGATGAGTCTGGAAAGGCTGTCTGAACCGATAGTATTATAGGTTTTCTCTCAGTTGAACGCAGTATTTTCCTAACAAGGGTGATTGTTACAAGGAAAATCATAGAAACGATAGAAGTGGTAGAGAATCTCTGTAGTTACGCCTCTATTCAAATTTTCCTTAATCCATAACTGCCTGAAAAGAATTGAAAGAAATATGATAGGAATTAAATATGAACGTAAATAGTCACTAATTACTGAAAAAAAAATTGGAATTGGTGCATAAGAGTGTACAAAACGTGTAGAAGACTTCTCATCCCACGAGCTTTGCGTTGATACGGCTACGATTCCAGAAAACTTGGCCAAGTGGGCTTTACTCGGCCGGGCAGTACAGTTGCCTCGCATACTCATATCAGTTCACATTCAACCAACAGTAATAAGATGTATGTCATACCTAACATATTCCCAATGATATATTTTGATTTCCACGCATACATACCCAGAAAGAACGTTGCCCTTAAGCTTTCAACAAGCCGATCTCCGCCCAGTATTAATTGTTATTTCTAACACTACAAATTGAAACTGATTATCATCTTCGTGGATCAACCATTAAAATATACATTTTCATTGTGAACATGAAAGGATTTTACTTATTCTACCATGACGAGATTCTCATTTCCTATGGAGAAAGTCCATATTTTAAATGCTTTCTCTTCAAGATTAATATCTCCTGTATCTCCTGCTAAATCACTAGTATTCCGATTTCACCGACCAAGGCACAGTTGCTCCCCGAATGCATCATCGTTGACAGCAGCATGCACTTGCATTGAAATCTCTTACTGTTTTTGTATATTTTGTATAACCATCCTCAATAGAACTGGCAAAGCCTCTCCTATGACCGTCAAGAATGCAAACCTACAATCCCTTAAGTATGCTAGTTACTGGGAAATTATCTGAAGCTATGAAAAACCAGAACCGTCATCAATATATCAAGGTTCATGAGAAAAAAGACAAGTTCTGGACGCACGCTACAAAAGAGGCCCTTACAAGTGATTTTTAAATGTTTTTCTCGTCAAGTCCTATATTGACTGTCGACAATTGGACAACAGAACAAAAACGCATAAGAATTTAGCCGTTTGTCGTCCTCCAAGAACTGCATACAATTCGAGTTCCTTTTTTAATCTACGACAGAACAGGTCCTTGTTTATATTGTCATCTACGCAACAGCAAAAACTTGTCAAACTTTTCAAAAACAACAAAAGTTTCTTGGGGGCTTCTGAATTTTATCCAATGAAATGGTGCAACTCTCCATAACCTAAAATAGTCCTAAAAAGGCTATTAAATCATCAAAAACAAACAATCAGTGCTTGTAAACAGTTATGATTAATAAACTCGTCCAGGCCAAATTTTGTTTTTGTAATCCCACTTTCGTCTCAACAATGATTCCTTTTACCGCCCCGTATAATCAGATTTCTGACTCACCGTGTAACTTCACCAACTTCTTTCACTATATTCTGACGCTTCTATAAATCTTTCAAACAAAAATAAAGCAAAGTGCACCTAAATTCACTACATATTAAATACATCCTAGTCGTCAAATACTAGAGGAATTCCTCGCAGTGGCCCTTTAAACAAACTACGCCAGGATCCACAAAAACAAATGCTAGTCCATCTGTCTTTGAATTTTCATAAAACAGTCCACTGCTATTTCTGGGTACTTCGCCGGAACGATCAGCAGGGGGAAAGTGCACATATGTTCTTAGATGGTGAGCAGTAAAGAACTAGCCGAGAACTAGAAGAACCTTTGAATAGACAAATTCGCCTTTCGTACTAAACAAACAGAGAAATGACACAGACACGAGAAATCGACCTACGGAACAACAGCCTGGACGCAGATTTTATAAAAGAATCCACCCCTTTTTCGAGTCACTGAGGTTCTCAACAGTGGTATGATCACCATAAGGCTATCAATCTCAGAAACGTTTTTGAAATCACTCGGTCATTAATATTTAACAATTTCCATGGCTATAAAAATGTTCGGCGTATAATCAATACTCGTCCTCATAATTCGGACAGAAATCGCAATAAAGGATTACTGTATGTAACACTGTGAACATGAACTCATATTGTGCAAAAAACCTAGCGAATGTCGTATCTCTTCCTACTTCTTCCTATTACGTACACCTAAGTCCATGGAACGGATAATATATCTGAGAAAAAAATGTCACTCGACAAATAAAAATTTGTATATTTTTATTATAATCCAGGAATCATGTCAGACAAACAACTCGTCTTGGATCATGATTAACGTAAATATAGACTATAACATTAAGCGCCATGCATAGATAAAAATTATTGACCATTCATCTTATGAAGAAACCCATTCATAGCGCATCTTATGCGAACAACGGGGGAAAGGGAGAACGCTGAAAATGGGCGATGAGATTGAATGGGAGCTAATAAGATACGAAAGAAAGCATACCGCGTTCACTTCAGAAACAAAACAATAAAGGACTCGGAAGTGCAACCGGTTTGAAACTGACGAACTATACCGCCAAGTAATACGAACAAAAAATTGAACAAACAATATCTATAAAAGAGCGCAAGGCACTCGGTAACCTGAGTTAACAGAGGTTCATATATACATGGAGTATCTTTGTAGGGGTACACAGTACCCCAAGAATTCAGAAAGACAATCTTATTAAGAGACAAAACAGGCAGAGAGGGAGAGAGAGAATGCGTCGCGGATCGTGTCTCTATGGGCATTCGTCACAGAACGCGGCGACGCGTTAACCGGTAATTCAGCACAGGCTACTTGTCTTGCTGACGCTTTGCAACTTGTTACCGGTCTCATGTATGTTCTATACCATAAGAAAGCTCAAGCTCCTCATTCAAAACTAAGACCAACAAAGCTTCAATTACAGCTAAGAGACCTGGTCTAATGTTAAAATGAATAATAGGGGCCTTATGATCCAGTTGCCATTATTGCGGTCGCATCGGAAATCCTTCCTGCTGCAATCGTCGCATCATGTCAGAGTTCGTCATAAGACCATTCGATTGGGAGGACGGGATTAGGGCTGGATGCAGGCCGAGGTTGGGCGGCAGACCTGCTGACATTGCACTTGGAGTTTGCATTGATGGCGGTCCTATGGAAGGCATGCTCATCTGATTCGCCATCATCATTTGCATCATCAGCGCCTGTATTTCAGGATTTGTCAAGGCCTGCGGTGGCGCCATCGGTGTAGCGCTCATCGCTCCAGCCATCTGCTGCGCTTGCATCATTTCCATCTGAAATCGTTGCATTTCAGATGGCTGTTGACTCGGCATGAATGGAAGACCGGCAGTGGCAGCCATCCTCTGGTCCATGAATGGCATCATCGGTAGGCGTCCAGCAGCCACAAGTTGCCGCTGCATTTCCAGCTTCATCATCTGCAAAGAATCGCGTAAATCTATTTGGTCACCTAGAAATCCTACTTTTTCGGATAGGTGTTTCTTGAATGCTAAAATTCAGTGTGTTGCTCTAAATTTTACACATCTAACAAAATAGCAAAAGAAGACAAAACACTGATGAAATAGTTCCCAAGATCGACTTTCTCTTTAACCTCGGCATTGGAAAATGAATGTATCGTTTTCTTGTTCAGCAATCGCAAGGTTTTTAAACAGCATACATTTACTTCCATAGAAAAACACAAAACAATACAACACTAGCTGACGCTTCGGCAGTATCGCCTTCTTCAGAGCCTGGAGTTGCTACTGATGAAATATTTGACCTTGTCGGGACCTCTTTCTCTCCAAATAAGTGTTCTGGTAGTTTCAGTACAGGTAATACTTAGCATCCAAACGAAAGATTGAAATTCGCTGTTTTCCTGATAAGCAAACACGAGGTTGTTACTGCACTCTTTATTCAAAAACCTGACGTTTCGAAACGAGAAGGGTAAGAGTCGAAAGAGCGGAGCTGAAACATCCGCATTTGTAAATGAAGATTGTAGTGGCAACGTCGTGTGTGCTTATCAGGAAAACTGCGAATTGCTGATGAATATCAAGGTCAACAGAAAGTCGGTCTTAGAAATTACTGCAAAAGACGAGAACTTAGGATATAATCGAATCGATGAAAAGAAGAAAAGTAATGTGGGAAGTCCAACCTAAATATTTTAAACATGAAAACAGTTACTTTTTTTTACAAGCGATCAACTACGCCGTACATACTAGTTTCTCGCAAACTTTGTTTAGTAGTCAGTTTCCCCGTTAAACTTTGGTATAGGCATCTAAGAATAGGCGTAAACTAGGCACCTTATTTCCTCAAGAAGAAAACGATATTCTAAGATCCGAGCAAGTCTCTAGGAGAACAGAAAACAAAATGTAGGAAGTTTTCGGAAAAAAAAAATGAGTAAATTCCCGACATGAAATTTTAAAACACCAAAACCGTCAGTTACTTTGTGGCTGTTATAAAAATTTGAAAAAAAAGAATAACTAGAAACTGACATGTTGTTGCTGAGCAGCAGCTTGCTGCTGCGCTTCCATTAACTGCGCCTGCTGCATTTGTTGCATCATTGCTATTGTCATAGGATCCATACCGTGAAATACGGACATTTGACCGTTCATTGACGCCACTCGCGATAAATCTGCGATCCCCGTAGGTACCATGCCGTTGAAATCCGACTAAATACGAGAAATTCTTGTGAAACTCGTTATGGACACATCGATTCTGAATTTATAAATCATCCTCCTAGCTCCCTATTTTCAGTTTTATAAAACATCTACGACAAGAACTAACGTTTGATTCTTCAAAACAATTCCAAGCAAGATTTTCTTCATGATTCGTATAGTAATTCTTTATGACCAATACCTTCAAGGCAACACATTTAACTCAACTACTTCTAGTACGCAGACTTTCACCGTGTTTAGTCTTTTCATCTACGTTCCACCACATTTAAGCAGACACAATAAAGCGTACTTTGCTTTGAAAACTACTTCATGTTCATATATGATGAAAGTGAGTGCAGCTACCTTTTTCGGTTGAGTCGGGGTCACCGGCTGCTGTTGTGCAGTGGTCACGGCGGCAGCTTTCTCTTTCTTCTCGCGTTTCCGTCGGGCCCACTCGCAGTCGCTCGGCATCCGATACGAGAGATCGGTTCGAGCACTCATTTGACCACATGACCGAACGATAGATTGCACAAATATTGCGTTCTTTGACGAACATGCCTCCTACAACGTCATGTGCTCGTTTTTTTTTCTTTGACATTCTCTCTGAGATGCTATTTTTCACATATACACCGCAACAAACACGGCTATATAAACTTAACGCCAACTTTTTAGAGGAGTGAGGTTTTTTGCACTCAAACTGCCTTTATGCACACTAAACATCTCCACGTATGAATTAAAAAGGGATGAGGAGAAATGACACCCATTACACTTACCTGATCACCATGTTTCCAAGTGTTGTCATCGTCGATGATAGCTGTGATATTTTCGTCACTTTCATCCGAATCAGTGTCGTCGAACAACTTTTCTTCCCTCTTGGATTCACTAATTACGGCACTTTCTGGTTTAACATCCTCAACCATCTTTGCGACTTGCTCGACTTTCTCCACAGGACTTGTGGAATTAGGTACTTCCATAGATTCAAAAACCTGAGATAAGGGAAAGATCTTCATGCTATACCATAATCTAAATCATATTACAAGCAAATAGCTTTTAGAATAGCTATCTATAAAATCACCTCGTTATTCGCTGCACTTCTTTGAGATTCTTCATTTGGAACCCCAGCTTCGGTTGTGTTATCTACTATTTTGATGCAACTTGTGTCCATGGCTGGCCTATTCTCCTCGCAAAGAACCTCTTTTCCACTGCTGCTATCGTCATCGATCTCTTCCTAAACGGACATTAGTCAGAACATTCGGGATGCAAAATTTGCTCTCACGAAACCTCGCGAAATCTGTATATTATCATGTAAAGAAAAATCGTAACTAGTTAACATACACGCTTTTTCTTCGCACTATTGCAGATTGTTGGTAGACCATTGCTCTGATGTACATTATTAGAACGTTTCCGTTTACCGTTCTTCGTCTTACTAATGGGGACTTTGTCGAGGTCAAACTCATGAACAGATGCCGCCTGACTAGGACTACGCCTCTCCTCTCCTATCGAAGGAGTTCTGAAACCAAATCAGCCAAATAACGATCGTAAAATTTCGTACACAGAGTAGACTAGACAACAAGAGAACCTAAACGGCATGCGTTTACCATTGTTTCACAAACGACTTGCTCGTAGAGGTCTGGGTTCATTTGGAGGTGGTAAATTTCACGTAGACAAAACGAATAGAATGTGGCAAAAATTTCATGCAGAATTGTTCAATAAGCCACAACCCATCCACTTTTTTCGTATGCGTATGAAAATTGAACGTAAGATCTGCTCTAATCATATTGAAGTTGAGGGAAACAAACTAGCTATTAGGACAATGGAATAAATTCTGTTGTTAAACACTAATAAAACGAAACCGTCACTTTTCAGCTCTTGAGATAGAAGCCGAACACCTCTAGGAGCGAAAACCAGAAACAACAAACCTTCGGCGTTCTTTCTTTCCAGCCCTTGTTTTTACTCCGCTCTCTTCTTCGGCGTCAACGCTAGATGGACTACGCTTGAATAAGCATGGAGGAACTGTGGACGGTCGATCGACTGGTCTTAATTGACCATATTTTTTGTAAAAAAGGCGACAGTCAGAGCAAAGCAGTAAGCCATCTCGGCCCGCATGATGCCAGTCTCGACTCTCTGCAATCAGTCAGCGATGTGTCGTTCTTTGATAATAGAAAAGGACACCGTTCCGATTCTTATTTCTTCATTTATTTAACTCTCCTTAAACATAAGAAAACTTAAGAAACAAGAACTAGGACATACTTGAACCGTAACAGTGATGACAAGCGTACTGAGTTGCCTTTTCTGCGTCAAGCGCTTCCATCTCACTTTCACTTGCTGACGCGTAATCCAACAATTCCGTTGATGCAGGTCGAGACGTCTTAATAAGCTTAGGTCATGTGCTAATTAGAGGCTAAACGTACTAACCCCACACATTATTTCGTAACGCGACCACTAAGTGTACCTTGTTTTGTGAGCCCTTGGCCGTCCTTTTGATTGATGTCACTTGATTCCGTTGCCGAGATAGTGGCTTTGGCTTTACGGCATCTGACGTCTTCTTCCAGAGATAGTAAAAACCAACCAGTTGATCCTAGAAATGTTGCCTACACCAAAACTCCTAACTCTACACGTTTAAAACAGTTCAAACAAGCAACTTTATCCCTACAACATCGTAACTCTATACACATATGGTAAAACCAATAACGGATAATAAAACAGTAAAGGAAGAAACAAACCCTGCTGTGCAATGGAAGCAGCTCGCGGCTAATTCGCACAAAGTTCTTTCCGATAGTCTTAATTCCTTTACTGAACTTTTTTGTGTCCTCGACTGTCATGAAATTGGCGTCGGCCGATAGCAACTTATCATTCGCGTTCATTTCCTTAAGTGCTTCATCGAACCTGTAGCCACAACGATGCAATGTAGTCAGCGCATCGTCAAATAACAGATCGCTCACCTGAAACGAGTATGTCGGTGTTCTTAAGTCTCATATAGAAAGACAAATTACTCATAAATTTAAAGAACCAAGACGCGTCAATGGCGCTCCCCACATCTGGCTCAATGTTGTTTGACTACGAGACAGGTGTCACTACACCGCATTACCAACTAATCCTCGATAATGCAAAATCGAAAGCAATTTCATAAGGTATAAAAACCTTATCAGAATCCGCACTGGTTTGACAATTCAAGGCATTATTTACTCAAGTAATTCTGCCCATCAATTTGTACTGATAGAGAGAAACGGCTTTTCATTCCCATAGGGATTGTAACAGTGACTATAATAAATGTTCTAAAGAGATATCTCTGGACTCTCTATAATTAGGGATCACTTGCTTTAAATGACAGTTTACCAGGCCACTCCGGCAGTGATTAGAGGGGAAGAGGCAAAACCTATAATTAATCCATTCGCAACAAAGCTGGTTTTCGATGAGTAGCAGTAAGACTACCGAGTTGTACTCTCGACTACGAAAAGCCATCAGGAGTTCAGATAGATTTGTAGGAGGGACTTTGCTCTACCACATTACTGGCATATACAAATTTTGTATAGTGTCGTAACAAACTCAAATATCTTTGTAAAAAGGATTCTCAAAAAGTTGCAAACTAGTTCATAGTTTTTAAAAATCCCAAGAAAAAGAGTGGCAGCTTACTACACATCAAGTAAGACCGCCATGTCTTGCCAGAAAAAACTGGGCTACAGTAACAACCGGTATTCAAATATTTCTACTCTCTAGAAATGTAGCAAAATTCACTACGACCTGAGATATGTTGACATAAAATTGAAAACGGACATCACTTTCGCATCACATGACTCCTACAGAGGTCATCTCGTTCCCTAATTTTTTACAACGATCTTTCTGCTCACTCTCGAGTGCTTCTCAGTGTCCATCATCCTTGTCTCCATCATAGCGAACATGCGGAAACTTCTTGCAAGCTTTATGTACTTGTCCTCGGTGCATGGGTCTATCATTCCTGGCCGATACAGCAGTTCATCACGATCGGCATCGTCCGCCACCGAGCAGGACGCCTCAGCAGGGAGCTTTGCCTAAAGAAGACTACGACAGTAATTGATAACACTTCACAATACTTGCGAGCGACTAGCCAGTGAAGAATTCTGGATTTTGATGGATAAAACTAAACTCGTACACACTTGATTAAAAATTAAGACCTCACACTGATCAGTGGCACCACAAGAAAACAGCGCGTGGTACAATCGCTGAGCATGCAAAGAGGTTTCAAACTCAAGCGTATGCGCCTCTTATATTAAGGAATTCGAATGTTCTCAAGAAGAAAACAAACTTATTGATCGATGTTGCGATCAGTAGGAAATCGATCCCAGGAACCAACTAGAATTATACCAATGTCAATAACGTAAAGGAAAATCACTACCCTGGTAGTACTCATAAAGGATAAAAGGTAAAGCTATCGGCGTTGATCAATACCTAAGGGATGCGCCATGCATTCGACTTCATTAAGCATCCTCTGGTGGTGATTGAATGCATATTTAGCCTTTACAATAAGTCGCGGTGGCCTACCGATGTACCGAGGCAATGCTGCTATCCTATCAGACAAGTAGTGTACCAATTTGCCGATCCCGGAGGAATGGAAGGCTTCGTGAGCCATGGGCACAAGGTTCGATTCCATGTGCGTTTTACGGGGCCTCCGACCACTGCTCCACACGCACCCTAGGTAGTACTCATGACAACAGATATTACACACATATATATACATATATGTATATATATATATATATATGCTCTCGAAATCTAAACCGACTGGTCGGTGGTACAAAATGAAGTATGAACACTGCTTCGAAACACTTCTGGTACTGAAAATTGCTAATCTGCCATTTAGGATCGACTTCATTCCGAACGATGACCATTAACAGCATCATGAGGAGTGACCTCCGAAGATGCCATAGTGAAATCGCGAGAGTGGTCGATGTGACACCTATAGGTTTCATCTTTCTATCAGAGGTTTATTTTAACACATAGGACTGTTTTCCTAAACTTCTCCTCATCAATCCACAGCTTATCAATCGCAGAAGTTGTGATGGGCGTCATCGTCCATGGGAGGGTGTCTTCTTAACAACCAACTTCTCACTAATTTCTCATCTTGCGACAAGAGATTGTTGCTGTCGAAGAGAGTGTGTGGAGTGGAGAGTGTGAGCAGTGACGAGGCGCAGAAACGACTCTGACTCGAAGAACTGGCATCGAAAGTGGTGCGCAGCGTCATTTTTGACAAGCAATTCGTCGTCTTTTACTTTTCAATCGCTATGATGACTTCAGGGTACTGTATGGGATGGGAGGATACCAAAACCACAGGGTAAAATAGACCTTGCAGCAGAACTTATACAACTTCACTAAATACTGTCAGCAGTACAATTGCATTATAAACAAGTACGCACCAAGAACATAGAAGTGAGCATACACCGGATAAGGGAAAAGCAGAAATTCCTCCAAAACCCAGAGAAAAAAGACATAGAACGGAGATCACAACAAAAGTGGGCGGAGCCAGCTAAAGATTGTTGAAGTGGCAGATATGACACCTAAAGGAAGCACAATGAGCGCAGCGAAAAATTAGGCATCGTCGAGAGAGTACTGACCAAAGAAAAGCTAAACCTCATGCACTTCTCAAAATCGCTTTCGCCGTATGTTTCCGAAAAGATGGTCCAAATGCTGATTCGATTCGCTGGGATGACTAGCATGGCGGTCAATACATCCTCGCATCCACTCAGACTTTGAACCGCCAATTGAGAACGAACAACAGCAATCGATGAGGCCTGACAACAGGCCGCCGACAGAAACAAACCGAAGCCGCGCGCGTTCGCTGAAGAGCGGTGAAGTCGGACGCAGAAGCACGTGAAGAGCTAAAACACGACGCGAAGCGAATTTACTGCCCAGTCGCCAAATCACGTCATTAGGAAAGTATGGGAACAAGACTAATTTGGAGAAGAAACCTAATAGTACTAACACTAGATACTAAAACCCTAGTTTGTCCGCTGAGGCTACGAAAGCTTCAATTTAACCCTAGACTGGACGCTGTAGAAGGCGAAACTGCCAATGAGTCGGCCAGTGTTGTATTAAACAAATCAGTAAATCCTATTGTTCACAATCTCGTGTCTACTCATCAAGAAAACAGCGAAGTATTTGATAAACGCCGCTATTAATAGAAAGCTGGTCATCGGAACTTTAAAATTCTCACAAATGAACCCTAGCCAGCCAAGATTCCTTATAAGAGATAATGTTTTGAAATTGTACACACTAGAAAAAAAGTCGTTAATCAATAGATCACGGATCATACAGGATCTGCGACCGACCTACGACCGATCTACGAATCGGATCGACAACACGTGCAGAAAAAGAACGATGAAGAAGTGAGACTTCGAAACAAACAGCGAACATGTTGGAGATTTCAAAATGTGGAAGAGCACAGATGCAAATCGATAACGATGAAAGATTTTATAGAACGGTAAGAGGAGAGTTGAGAAGTGGCGGAGAGGTGATAGCGATGGTGGTATGAATAAAACACGAAAGAACTGAAGAGGAAAACATGGGCAAATACGATCAAACGACACCATTCTGTCTCACATATGTAGTTATTCAGACAAACGGGCTATAGAAAAGTACTCTGAACAAGTATAAATGTAACTGAAGCGTTTAGGACAAAGCAAACAGACATCACTCACTAATTGAATAATGAAGAACACATAGAACCGACCTGATATGAGGCACCGACGCGGATTTCTCCTTGCACAGACGCCAGCCTTGATGATTCCTGATTGAACGATAAACAAGAGAAGAACGTATTCTCTCTGCTGAGATCACAATCGCCAAGACTTCGTATGTCCTTCACGAAGGCTATTTTACACTTTCCCCTGAAACATATAACAATGCCTAGTACTTGTAGCATGATGAAATGAATCTGGAAAAAACAGAAAAGTACTGAAGACAAGTGATGAGGGAGGGTCAGAGGTTGAAAGCGGCACGCCGGCTGGTGCGTTGCAACGACGGCCGATCGATACGACGCGCCAGACAACTCCTGTGGGAGGACACGCCCATGCCGTGGTGGGTGAGTAACGGCGGGATAAACTGAGCACACCTCGGCCTGGGGAGATGGACTACCACCGACGGACTGCAGTACATCCTCCCATCCACCGATTATCCTGCATCGATACAGAGCCATAGAGAGTGTATTGACTACGGAAAGAATGAAATATGTTCGAAACAACGCCTACTTTTACATGGAATACTGTAGCGCGGTGTTAGAGGTGCCGTGAAGTACACACGTGGTCGTTGGTCCGACTATGCACCCTGACCTCACAAAGGTTTCCATCCTTCCGGGGTCAGCAAACTAACTGGTACCAGAGCTGCCTGGGAGGATAGCGGCAGTGAATTCATACATTGATGAGGCACCACAGGTTGTTCTATGGGCCAGATATGCATTCAATCACCTCTAACGATGCGTAATCAAGTAGAGCGCGTGGTGCATCCCTTAGGAACTGATGAACACCGAGAGTTTAACCCTATATACCTTTACTTAAAACCCAGCAACGACCTAAATTATCCTACCAATTCTGTTGTACATGGAAAACGCGCACAGAACATCTATAAAACATTTGTCCAACTTTTGCAACTGAAAAAGCTTAAAGGGGCGGAACATGACAACAGTGAAGTTTATGAACGGCTGTAACTCGAAAGTACTTTGACCATAATTCCACTAAACTAACAATAATTATTTTGACGAGATAATGAAATATCACATAATCCGGTGTGTCAGCTGCTATATGTCATCGCAGCCTCCGGCTGAATTTCTCGTGTCCACATTTAAAACAGTAAACAACTAGTAACGGAGAGTTGAATACAGTATAACGAAACCAGGGAATATTAAACAACGTTTTAGCTTCCATTTTTGGTCTGTGCTTTTTTCATTGTAGGGTGCGATGCGAAATACAACCATATGGATGACGAGATATGAGCAAAAGTGGAAAAAAACGACTTCGAAACCCAATCGAGGTCCTGAGTTTTACTCAAATCCTAAAATTGTTACATAATTTGGTGAAAAATTCAAAAATTCCTTTATAACTAAGTATAATCGAGCAGTTGAACAAGACCGAGAACAAGGTAGCCCTTGTGGCTGGCTGGCTTTGACCATTTTGACACATTGCCACATAACCTGTGATAGGGGTCAAACATATCTTTCTGAGAACTACGAAAATATGTTTACCATATATAAAGTGACATCCCTAAACAATAGTAGTTGGTACTAGATTGGGTAGTGTAATGGTTTGGATTTTATTAAGTCATTTTCTGTTCTGCTCAGCTATAAAAGCGGCCATTATTTCATAGTGTTTACATAAAGCATTGTCAGAAAGCACTTTCATAAGTACTACATTCTCACTGCTATTGATTTCATCGATTTTTTCTATTTTCGACAGTATTCTCCTAGCCGAGACAGACATCGTATATTCTAAGAATTTGCAAGGAACGAAAATTCGGATGGTGCGCCATCGCTGAGTCTCAGCCAACTACTGCTAGAGTTGATCTGGCCTTTGGTGGTCATAGTGATCGTTCCGCTCTATCGTTGAGAATAGCGAATGATACAACGGTTCAACACCGTTAAAAAATCGCCAAAAAATATTTTTAAAAAGTGACAGTGATAGAAAAACAGCAGAAAGGGGGCTTTTTGACCACGGGCGCGTCTGCTCACAGCTATCAATGGAAGTGTGGAGACCGTGAAATTCGATCGTTTCAAAGGACGATAGAAGCATAAATCTACAGTGTTCGAACACAACCCCGAACAATATAGGGAGCGGGTGACGGAAATTCGAGCGAAATATGATTACGACGAACCGGCGGCCGGCCGACTCGCAACGTGATTATCTATCTAACGTTGTCGAGTACAACTGAAATACACACACTCCTATTAGATCCGACAACCCTAACTAACTAAATACCGCAAATTACACTATGATGCCCTTAACGTGTGACTGTATTGTATTAGTACCTTATTATCACTTACTAGTTATAAAAACACTTGATAGGGATGTCTCTGAGAATAAGTATAAAAGACTTTTCATCCTAAAAAAAAGCCCATTACTCATTTTAGTAACATCACAACCTTAATGGAGAGGTTTGAACTTTCACAGTACCTATACATAATCTAAAATGTTACTAACAAGTAATAGTGAATCGAAAACTGCATGCCGTCTCCACTTAATGCGGTCAAGGCTCAATGTGTCAGGAAATAATTGGCTGGAGTACCGCCAACCAGTTACCAGCAGCATTTACGGAGTACCTCTGATATGTGGATTGTCTTAACAGTAAACGATACACAGATCTTATCAACGACACAATCACCACTACATACAATTAACTTTACTTACAGTTAATGGCTCTACTTTACTCTTCACTGGTGACTGTTTTCACTTATCCATTAATGCCTTTAAACGGTTTCCTGTATAGTAAGTATAGCTCAAACTTTCCGAAACGTGATAAATGGCTAGTGGATAAATGGATATCTTGAAGTGTTTTAAATCGCAGATTCAAAAAACACATATAAGCCTCGCTTCTCCACCTTAACGGAACAATAAGCAGAGTTTAGGGTAAACGATTTCGTACGGAACGTTCAATACAACTTTCAGTGAACAATTCTACAGTCAAAAAATGCTAATAATTGGATCGCAGGGCAGAAAAGACCCACAGTATGGACCAAAGAAGGACGTCTCGGAGAGACTGTGGGAAAGGAGTGGAAAAGAAAGGAGAGCGCGAACACTAGGGCGACAGCTACATAATAGAGAACAAATTAAGTGACGGGTGGTACTGGTAAAGAACAAACACGCCTCTGAGAACATGTAAAAAACAAACAAGAAGCAAGTATTAAAAATGTGAAGCACCTACTCACCGTAAACTGGAAATAGAATGGAAGGCAGTGATATCGGACGTGAACAGCTCACGTGAAAGTATCTCTGGACTAGGCTCTTCGGGAAAATCCATTTCCATTCGCTCTTGCAAAATGAGACTCAGTGAAACCTCTGGCACATCTTCCGGTCGAAAAAACCGTGTGACTTTCACAGACAACATATCCCGCTTCGTCTGAAAACTGAGAAATGTTTGAGTTGCTCTCGATAACAATAGCTTCTTCAAATGTTGCTTAGGCTCGATTTCATCGCCGGAGAGAATGCATCATAGCAAATCCCTAAAGGAAAGAGGGAATGTCGCCGGTACGCGCGCTTTCTTCACCACTACACTAATCTAGTTTTTGTGCGTTCATCGTCACCACGTTGCTATCACTTTCGTGGTACATCGATTTCACGACAGTTGTATCGTCCTAGATAGATCTAGTACACATCTTCAGTACGCGAGACACTTGGCGCCAGGGAATCGTAGCTCTTCTAATTGCTTTGCGCACCATTTGGCAAGCACATCAAGCGCCGCCTGGACGGCCACACGACATGGGCTTAATCAAGCGACGATTTCAGTGAGCTCTATGGATACTTGTCAATATGCAAATGACCGAGTGACATAACTAAATCGAACACTTAACTAATTACTTTCGCTTCAGCATTCACCCTCCGAACTTGGAATGAATATCGCATATCTCAGTGCTCCTCTCCAACAAATATATATATATATATATGTACATATATACATATATATACTTATATATATATGTACATACGTACGTATACATATATACATGTATATACATATACATACATACATATATATAAGCATACATAAATGAATCATATTTAGGGTGTCAAACGAATAAAAACCAGATAACACCCGGGGTGTACATTACGAATCCAAAAAAGTGCCAACCAATTACAAACGACCTATTCTTGTTAAACAAGTTCCATTAGACCCGCAAGTACTAAGTTGCTACCATGCCATTCCCAAATCTGGAAATTTTTTTTGAAAAATGCCAAGAAACACCAAATTGTAAAATCCTTAATTTGACTGCTATAAGATCATATTGTTGTCACCTGCCCATATGTTCAGTGAGAGCTGGCTCTTTTACGAGGCGCTATGTCTCGACTTCTCAATGATTTCGGATGAGTGGTAGAATAAATGTTTATGAGTGCAAAGAAGATGCATATAGTGCAACATCGTTTAGCATTCTTAATTTCCAATGGACTAATATATGTCAGGATTCGTCATTTGGTTGATTGACTAGTGACGAAATTCATTGCCGTCTTGGGAAAACACAAGTCGCAAAAAGCCGGAAGCAGGTTCTGGTGAAGACCTGCGAACGCTTGGTAACCTTCTGATTCCAAGTAAAGCAAACCAGTACTGAACATCTATGCGGATGGGTCATCTGAGTATCAGAGAAAGCGGATGCTCTACAAGTCAAATGGAACAAGTACGACATTTTCACAACACTCCTCAACCGTTGCTGAAATTCAAATGCACTTAATTATTTAATAAGTAAAATTCATTCCTAGATTCTACCATGTTATAGAATCCGAAATTCTAAAAGGGTAACTAAACTTAAGAGCTGTTGGCTAAAACATGTACTCTACGCGGACAACTTCACGGTGAGATGGTTCACTTCCCAAATCAACACACATTACGTCGGTGTAGTCGCCTTGAAATTCTTTGGTCTTATAAAAGCAACTGTACACGTACAGTAAAAACTTAAAAAGCGAATTGAGTAATTTTATGAAAACAATAACGTCCGTAGAACAAAAGTGGAAGGTAAGTCAAACAGAAGTCTACCCAAGCTAAGATGGAAGCCAATCTTTCTTTATATAATTTTTATATCATATAAGGAAATGATAAAAAAAAAATACTGCACTGGACCATTAGCAATCACTATTCCTATTCAGATTAGTTGGGATTTAAAAATGAAATGAACAATGCATTGAACCAAAAAGAAAAAAACCAGCTGAAGCAACTGGTTCTTTCCGGGCAAAATTCAGCGATACCGATGGACAGATGATCCATTCTGTTAAACTGTTCTCAATCTGTTGCTTGACTAATTACAACATTCATTACTGTCATAATGATCGTTTTCGCACTGTAAAAATCCCAGCAAGATAGCTAATTTTCTTATGATCCACAACAATTGGCGACAACCTATGGTAAAGACTTGCGACGGTTATTATGTTAGTATAAGTAATTAAATACGTAGTAACAATAATTTTCAATAGTTACATTTACCACGAACACTATTATGTCCAGACTGCATCGTTTCGAAGTACGGCGCAAAGTTTGTTCTAGAGATTGACAGAACTTAACGATAAGGTGATCGAACCAACTAGCACGGCGATAACACACAGTGTATTCGTTGGGGGAACATCAAAATAGAAGCGCTTCAATTAAGCGAAATTAATGGCGTGCTGCGGAAAAAAACAACTTTAAAAACAGACATAATTAGAAGAGCGTACCATTTTGAACATAGTAATTGACCCAATGATGTAAGGGTCTGAAGGTGTAGCCTCGATATAAACACTGTCACCGGGCTTGTAAATGATTCCATCATGTGCTTCGAAACAACATATCTCACCATCTGCTCGTTTACGATACGCCTGAATTAAGCGCATTCGTTCGCTGTCAAATCCACCAGTGTCAAGCAGAGCTATTAAAACTCTCAAGTACTATCCAGAAAAATTATAGCACAACTTAAAAAATATGACTAGAAGAATTATTCCCTGAATTAAAGTCGGTAAGGAAGACTATACAAACTGCTTAAATCTGATCATCAACTAATTTGGCTTTCTTCAGCTGAACTTTTTTGCTGTTTGTTTTCCGTGAATTTATTGGTTTCTCTTTTCTTTTTAACCAAGGACACTTGTTGTTCAAGCACTGCGGACTCATCAGTCACAATACTGCACACATCTTCACACACCTACTCAACACAGCTTGGCTTGATGCTCTTGAGAACAGGGAATTCAACTCATGTACAGAAAAAAAATAAGACCGAAACCTGTATTACCTTGCCTCGACGGCTTCGATCAGATCGACCAGGTATACTGTAGTAGAGTGGTTCGACTTCCCATAGTCCGGCTTGAGCACACTGATCTGGACTTCGGCTATGCTCACCTTCGTCTGCCATCTGTAAACGACCATCATCTCGAACATACCAGTAGGCGTTTTCGTAGTTATCATTAACAAATGACACAGATAGTGATCCAGTCACATCTGTTCAACAATGATCGCGTCAAAATGGGCACAAATGATATCGAGCCAAACAAAAATGACAAAATTAGGGATAATAAATGAAATATAAAGAAACACAGAATGTCTACATGGATGTGATAGGGGTTTTCTGCATTTCACTTAACGAAAGGAGATCAAGCCAAATATGATTTTTGAGAACTACAATGAGAAGGAAGCAAATCAAATTTCTCGAAATTGCGATGTTTTTAAAGTAGCCGACAGAAACAGCGGCGATAGTTAGCCCACTCATCGCCGTGCATAGCAAAGGCACTCAAAGGTCATTGCGGTCCATTGCTGGCCCACACGGGGACCTAGTTGTCCCCTATCTAGCAACTTCATCTGAGAACACCTACTCAGGGACTTATTCATACGTGCAACCAATCCCGAAAACTTCTATTCAAACAAATGATCAACTAACACTTAATGCTTTATATATTAATCACAATAAAGTTGGTTATGAGGTTGCAATTAATACGACTACAATTATAACGTCTATATGGGAGCCAATCTGATTTTAAACATCTCGGACTGAGAAAAAAACAAATCCTGGGAAGGATACGCGCTTAGAGGCGGCAAGAAAAAGGAGATGTAGTAGATCAAAAAATAGCACGCCGAATTTTCCCAACAAAACAATAATTCTGAGTGTTAAAGAAAAGTAATGAGTACTAAACAACGAAAAACCCTCATGAAAATGTTCCAAGTCAATATGGCGCCCAGTAAAAAGAACACCATCAGTGAATCGGCTTAAAAAATGCAATGAACTTGTGACGCGATAGTCGGCAGTCAGCTGCTGATCGCAGAGCTCAGTCACGAATTCACAGCGTCATTAATCAAACGACTAGACAGCAACATGGGTTTTCAATAATGGACAACAGGAAAAAAACCGCTGGTGTTACATTGACGAGAACACAACTATTTCGCCCTCACAAGAAAAAAACAGAAAACAAAAGGAAGAGAAAAACACTAGACAGTAATGAGCAACAGCAGAGGGTGGCGAGAGTAAACACACACACCAGGCAAGCAATCAAAGACGCAGCAATACGGATACGCCACGAACAGAACGAGGGATGGACGGAGAGAGCGACCAGGAGAAAGCGACCGCCTTCCAGAGCACAGAAAACGCAAACAGGCGATTAGTGGTTGTTCTTCGTAGATCAGGAATCCAGAAATGGATTGCCGAGTAGTGGAGTAGCGACAACGACAACGAAAACGAACGAAGGAAGACTTCGGAACGTGGACGAACAACAACAAACATCTCATCACTAACCAATATGCGCGAACACCTTGAATGAGAACAACACACAAAACAAAAAACACGACCAGGTGGGGACGTTTACCCGGACAAACATCGGGAATATTACACCCTTTTATAGATCTACCCGATCCTGTCTAAGCGCACAATAGTACTTTTTATGAAACCAGTTTTAATTAATGAGCAACATTTGAAAATAGAGAACTGGTAACAGAAGTTAAGCCTTTAAAGGGTTGCTTAGTAGTGACAGGGTAACCTGCGAACTACCAATAACAAATAGTAGCGCTTTTGCATGGATGACTGAGACACGCTTGTGTGAGAGATCGCAGAAATAATCATTCGACCCGCGCTGACCTCTCAGTTGTTTGAGTGGTTGCGGAGAACTCATTAAGGAGGAACAGAAGAAATAGAACATCACGTGAAAAAAAACCGTACAAGGGCAGATATTTACGAGTTTTATTAATGAGACATTGCATACGGACAACTATTAAGCATTTAAAAAATGAGTAAGACATCACTTGAAACAGTAGAAGTCGTAATTAGTGAGCACGAAGTAAGGTGCTCTAAGACACGTGGCATGCTGAACACCACATTTTCTTGAGTTTGGTCTCGAAGAAAAAATCGAGGAAAAGGGAACGTATTATAACAGATCTGAGGCAAAACATAGACGAGTGGTCGACGGACGTCTTCGATGACGAAAATACGTGAAAGTGATGTCTTGACGCGTGAACATGTGGCTGCATGTTGAAACGTGTGCATAGGATGTGGGTATGTGTGTATGTATGCGTGCACACATATATATACATATATATATATATATATATATATATATATATATGCGCTTGTGAATGTAATTGTACGTGTGTACATTTGTGCGCTGTGCGTGTATGTGTGTATATTTGCGTGGATACAGAAGTGGTTTGCCGCCCGCGACCCCCAACAGCTCAATTGGGATTATCCATGACGAGCAGCATGACAAGGCTTGGCCAGCAGTATAGACTCACATTGTGCGTGAATTCAAGCAAGGCACTAGTCACTCTAACGTCACAAAAGGAAAGCATAATCATATCAATAAGTTACTATCATTGAGTACTCTACTTGTAGATACGCTAAGATCTCAATAGTCCACGTTTTGTTTTCGTTTCACGCCACTTCGTCGATGATATCAACTAAAGATGGCACATACAGGCGCAATCTTTGATGTTTTTGAAACTAAACAAACAAATGGATGCAACAACCGTCAGCACCGCGATTCGTTGTGACGACAATGACGACTGCGACGACGGCAATGGACCGACCTACCTACCAACCAAGAACGACGACCATTAGCACCTATGACACAACGATGCTTGTCAGTCAGATGCGATTACGTGCCGGGATGCAACGATAAGTGGAAGAAAGCGAAAACTGGGCACTACTCTCTAAGTATATGCATTCTAAGCACTCATGCAACGCATATGTGGAATCGCTCGACTAGGCCCAAAGTGCGACTTGTTGCTGGAACACTACCTCAATGTGAACTGAGTACATGTTTAATATATGTTCAGCGATTTTCCACTTAGATGGTGTAAACGCCTCCTGCTTTTTTCGGCGCAGTCGGCTTCTTAAAACACGAGCTGTGAGCGCGTAGTTCGCTTACAAATGGCGCAGGCGTGTCGTAAACGACGGCGGACGATACTGTCGAAGTACAATCGCTTGCGCAACGTATGACACTGGAACACCCTGTCTGTCGCCCTCTCACTTCGGCGATGTAGTTCCAAGAAGCGACTTAGTAGTAAAGTTCATGCGAAACATAACATTTACAACCATCGTTATAGACTCGACAAGTGGTCACATTAAAGTTGTAAGCTTCTATATAAACAATAAAAACAACATCAGAATTCGTTTCTAGACTCCTTTGAAACCTTAAATCATCTGTTGCTTTCGTTTCTTCACATGTAGCCAGCCATCTACTGATCACATCTTACACTGAATCACTTTTTTCATTGCTGACCACTTTGAATAACAATCGTCTCAGAGTTATTCGAGTAAGGTGAGAAATGTCGGGAACGAAAATGAATTCTCGGGTTTTTTGCACTAGGAGGAGACTGGTGACGAACTTGCGTAATGCGATAGTGCGCAGCCGATTAACAGATAAAAACATAATCCACAGTTGAATCGGCTTGACTAGTACACCACAGTAGAACAAAAATCAATAGAGGTGATGCTATCAATAGAGCTTTTAGAATCTGCACTTCACAAACCATTCATTATGGTGGGTGAAAGAGTGGACAAATGAACAGACTGTTAGAGATGAGAAGTTAGAGCGACCGAATAGCGAAACGATTTCAGTAGTTCGTTAGTGTTGAGTATATAAAGAGAAGAAGACTGTCGAAAGTTAGGTACTCTAAAACAATGCTAGCAGTTGACGAAGGAGAAGCTGGAACAAACGCCCAATGACCAGGGAATGTGGACACCGACAACACATACAACAAAACCAGGATCGCAACGCGGAAATTTTTTACTTTACCATCTGTATGCGCCCTGAGTACTGCTGCCCTCACATCTTCCGAAGCTCCAATGATATGAGTTCGCTTTTATGAAACAAAAGCCAAATGAAAGATGACTTCGATGTGATCAAAGAGATGGATTGTTCCACCGAATTATCCATGTACAACACAAAAATTGCTTTTTAAAGTCGCAGGAACTTATGAATATGGTCAACAAATAGTTGAGAATTGATCAGGAAATACTAACCTAGAAATTTTCTCGACTTTTCAATCTAAGTATAGCACTAAAATCGATCGAGAGATGCCATTATGTCATCAGCTAAGGGTTCAAAAGAGCGAAGAGCAATTGTGAGCCCTCTCAATCAGTGTTATGGGCTGCCAACGGATGAGTACGATGTTGTGCGTCACTCATACTTATCGAATGTTACGAAACACCTTTCGTTCCGCCTTTTACTCATGAATTCGAAACATATTCTCATGCTTTCTTTAAAACGTCTCTTATTCTCGAGCCAAACTTTTTGCCATTCCCCACTCCGTGTATCGGGGCCAAGTCGCTTTTTCGAGACACCGATGCGCATTAGCGCTGATTTAGCGCAAGCAAACTGTTCAAATTATGTCACTGGAATCATTGGACAGACGTCTATCCCAACATTCACAGCGTATTGAAAAAATGGATCAAAAAAATAAAGGGCAACAAGTCCGGGTTAGGCATAGTTTTCGCAGGTTTCTTATCACTAGTACAATTGCACATGATAATTCATTGGTGGTTTGTCAGTCATGCAAGACCAAAAACGGAGTGGGAAATGTGCGGAATTCTTTGACGGTCAGGCGATAGCTGTCGATGTAGAGAGTATAACATGCAAAAGTAATGAATGTAAAGGCGCGGAAAAACATGACTGCTGAGCGCTCGAATTCTGCTCCAGTGCAGTGCCAAACATTGCTGACGACTGCCGGAGAACATGCCAGGAGAGCTAATAAGGGCGCTACCAAAAAGTGTAAGGAACGACCAAACAGGGTCAGGATTCACTACAATACTCGAAAACTCATACAAGCCTTAGGTAACGGAAAAAAAATTGACAAAACGAAAGCAAATAAAGCATTAGCAGTGCGGCACCTTTAGCCACGTTAACGCACGCTTAATGAATTCCAGCTTGCAAACTTTCTAGTGAGTGCAATACTTTACCGCCGAAAACACTAGCAGTGAATGCGAAAGTAAATGAACCAACACTTTTCAGCGTTCGGACTACTTCAGAACAAAAGAAACGAGAAAGAACAAAATTCGGTAATAGTTGAACTGAACTTTGTATCCATTTTGAGAGTTACAAATAATCGGTTCCGATCACAATTACAAAGCTCGGTTAAGAAGATTTTTTAAATCTTGAAAAGAATCTTTGAAATTTTATGTGGTCTTATCTATTTAAAAATCTTAGCCTTAAAAAGCACTAGGCAATCACAATAATTGATTCTAAAAAGTTGTCGAAAAAGCCCAGTAGCAAGTCAACAGCAATGTTTCACGAACCGCTTTTAGGTGACGGGCGTTGATCCGGCCGATGAAGAGGTTACGTGGCGCGTGCTCAAGTGGCGAATAGGATTAAATGCGGACCAAAAGAGATCACGTTGCACTTATACTGCAACTCAGGTACACTGATGCAATTAACTCCTCTAATGGGAGAATCGTATTCATGGATACGGGCGTGCATGCACTTGCGAGAACTCGGATTCCATCCTTCCCATCGATTCGGCGAAAAGCCTGCGATCAAATAATTGGCGACTAAATGGGTGGCATTTAGAGGTGCTTCCAAGAAATAACCTCCAAGATTACTACGAGGATATCCGACAAGGTACCCGTTAGTATATACAACACGGCTAGGGAAGCCATTCAAGATTATTGTCTCGCATAAAACGAATTAGGAAAACTGTTTTATCAAGAGAGTGTACTACTTCTCAGGTTACTCGAGCCAAGTGGTTTACTAGTACAGATGTGAATAGGGTTACTGTGATGGGTAGCGATTGTCAAGAGCATGGAATAAAAAAGCATTCAAGAGGATTCTTATGGTACGAATATACTACAAGGAGTGGTAGTAATTTGTGTAGTTTAGTGATCGACGTCCACCAGTGTGTGTGTTGAACGTATTTCCGTCCTCAGTTTACACCTAAACAAGCGCAAACAGGCGATCAGAACAGCGAACTAAGTAGGAGGTTGTGAAATTGAGTTGAAACGAAATTTATGGCATATTGACGGCCCACAAGTTTACTCGTATAAATCAACTCCATTAGAGTGGGGATGTCCTAGCATCGCTAAGCCAACAGCACTTCATGTCCATAGTTTCGAATCGTAGATAAAATACTCATGTAAAAATCGAATTCTTAAGAACCGAAAGATTATGGAAGTAGACAGGAGCTTATAAAAAGCGAAAATCCCTATAATTAGCATTTCCGAATCAATAATGAGCATTTCATAACCCATTTGAGCAACAGGAATCGAAGAAAAAGAAGAGAAAGAAGAAAAACAACGAAATCACTCTAGAACATTCTTAATAAAAACTGGAGAAAGACGGAATCTGTCCTCTTATTTCGAATAGCCGATTATTTACTTACACTTTCCAAAAAAGAATCCGCAGTCCCTTAATTCCTTTATGAATAAAAATAGATACTGGCATTGCAGAAGTGATGATTACACAGCCACACCGTATCGTTAGTCGTTAACGTTAATGATGCTTCCGAATTTAAATTCAATCAATAATAGAGGAGATATATTAAGTACTCAAAGATCACCCTAAAATCTTCCTACTAAAACTTTGAAAACTATAAGAGATATAGGATTTTTGAATTATTCAGGTTACACAAGGTTGTGAAACAAGTTTTACTCGTCTAACGTTTTCATGTCGCCGCCTTCTTCGGAGTCTTCCGCTTTTCGTTTTCACATTAGCTGGAAGAAGAAGACGTTGAGACGTACGCCTAATAAAACTGATGTTACAGCCTCATGTATACTGAACAACTCAAAGAGATGTATTGATTATTCGCGCCGAGATTAAGTGAAAGTCTATTTGGTAACATCATAACAAATATAGTTAATATCGCAGAATCTCATTAAGCTGCAACCACATCTATAGCGATGCTTAGGCTAGTGTTTTATCGTTGCAGGAAAATAAGCTATTATCTACCTATCTGGTGGGAATAAAGAGCTGTTGAGCTGCTGGTGTCGTGTGGGAACGGAAGTCGGAGAGGCGATCATATTAAGTGCTAATGGCACCTCGTCACATGGTGCTCTACGGTGTACCATTTACCCTGTTACAAATACACTACCCAAACTCACCGATAACAATCATGGAATTGTAATGATTCCATAACTCCCACTTGACCGATAGTTCAATGTAGTGAACTATGCGAGACCAACCGACGGCAACGTTTAGTATGCAATCCTGATGCATTGCTTCCTTTGATGCATTGAAGCTCTATGACACCGTACAGGACAATTTACTGCATGGGACTTCAAAATGGAAGAAACTTGCCAAAACAGAACAAGCCGTATCAACTAGTTAGGACGGAATTTTAAGTGATCGCTTTTCTTACTTGTTTACTAACTACACATCGCAGACCCCCTAAGCCAAGAAATTGCAAATTTGGCCGCTCATTTAGCATCTGCGATGATTAATCGTGACAACGATGACTTCTTGAATACAGAATCGAGTCGAGGTCGTCAGTGGCGAAGAGCGCACAGCTCGAACAACAAGGTCAATAGGCTGTCTCAACGGCGTTCTCTCAATCCTGTGGCCGATCAATACCCATCGGATACCTGGGAACTCAAAATGTGGGAAATGGAGGACATCATGCTACGGCTGGAAGTGCTCTGAGAACACGATGAAAGCGAAAGTCAAACAAGTTGAAATGTTCAGCAGGAGAGTGTTTACGAAATATAGTTTAGAACCTCAAAATATTTGAGTTAGTCAACTTGTTCAAAAATGATCAAAGATAAGAACGCCGTCCGCTACACTTTTGCTAGGGATGGCTAAGGATTAACAGCCAGAAGTTGAAACAGACTTGTGTTGAATGGCCATGACAAGCAGCGAATTCATTACACCTCATCAAAAAAAAAAGTTCGCTAGACCTTGAACATAGTCATAGTGAATTCCATTCCTGAATGAAGGAAAAAATCTGGTCAATTGCTTTCGAGGTTTTAGGCATTTGTAGGCTGACTGTGTAGTTGCTCGTCAAAATGACTGCTTGCACTTTCGCTTCAATTCTACAGCTACAGATCGGCTTTTTAATTATCGTCGATTATACGGGTCTGGCATTACTTATTGTATTACATTGTCAGCTTAGTGATAGCGCTTTTTTTTTACAAAGACAGTAGGAAGGAAACTAGAGAAAGCTCGAAGAAAAAGCTATCTGAAAATCTAGGAGAAGCATGGTGAAAAAAGTGGCAGAAAATACACTACATTTCTTATCTATAGACGGTATATATACATATATATATGTATATATATGTATACATATATATATATAATATGAATACTATGTACTTGGAAAAATCGTTAGCATTAGTGTTTAATAAAATCTTAAGAAGAAGATAGCAAATATAAGGAAGAAAAAACGATGAAATAAGGAAGAAGTAGACAAAATTAGCTGTTTGATGACGAAGGGACGGCGATTATGAAGCAGGAAATGGCGAGATAATTGAGATACAAGGATGCAAGGAGGCATCGCGTTCCCGTCGGAGGATGAGGGATCACCCTCGCCCTCGGCGGCGGCGGCCCGCCCATCGGCAGCGTTCCGCGAGCCGAGCAAGCATAAACAGAGCATCGAAGTTGGCAGAAAGAACTGATGTCGCAGCAGTGACGTGACACATCTCATCCACGACCGCACTCCGGACTGGAGAAGTCGTTGAAGTTAGGAGACGATACAATGGTACCAAGTGAGCATCAGATCCAGAACACATCAGACCGAGCGCATTCCACGCTCTGAGGAAGGCGAAGTCATCGCGACACCGGCCAGTGTTGAGTAAAGCTTCAACTAATGACCACGAATCTACTCAAGAAGAACACATTAGTTTATTCAGCCGACACTCTCCACACAAAAGCGTTGTCGATGTAGTACATTTCTATTGTTTATAGCTAATGTCAGGAAACCTCTTAACACTTACGGTCATTTTTTTCATATTATATGCTTATTCTAAAATGACCTTTAGATGTCGCCCATAAAGTGCATTGGAAATCTTGTGACTTTCGAGCGCTCTGTAATTATCTGTGCATAACATCATCCAAATATTCAAATATGGAAGTGGTGGATTAATTACACAATTTTTTTTACTAGCGTCGTGTTATTCAGGGTAATTTTAATTTACAATCACTTATACACCTGCGATGTCCCGTGGTTGACACTGACTAAGGCTGCGAAATTGCCGAACTGGAGACTGAAAGGAGCTGAAGTTGGTTCAGCTGGAAAAGGAGAGAGTATAGTAGCTTGGAAGTAAACATAGCAACAGCACTAGACGTAGGATAGTTAATATTGCAATCAAAGGTATAAAGACATTCTCGGGCACAAAAGAATACTCGTTCGCAACTTAGCCACTTCGGTGCCCGTCTGTGGCCCCTTCTGTGGTCCCTGAGCACGCAGTATCATTTTCAGAAAAACAAATATTGACGAGAGGAATGTGTGGTGATTTTTCACTCAACATCGGAAAAGCTACAGAGTGCTGTTTTCAATATAGAACCATTTCAAGACAAATTTGTTTCCAAATAACACAAAATAAGAGACAACGGCATGTTGCGAATCATGCGGTAAATTCCAACGTGTGCACTCTGTGAGAGCGAACATGAATGTCTACGGTCTTTGGAGTGAGAAGTGTGGAAGGCTACAAAAATCGGAATCGAAATGATTTGTTCTAATGACGTCGAAAGTCCATAGTTTGTTCTGAGCCGTACTTCTTTCTCCGGATATGTGTGTTGATCTCCGAAATAACTTAAAGGGTGAAAGAGTTTTACTTACTGAACTATGAGGAAAGAACAACACTTCCGAACATTTTAAGGCTTCATGAGCCTAACTGAGATGTCGGTAATAAAATTCTTCCTGAGATTCTTTCACTACAGTTTGTTTACCACAATGTTAAGTAGTACAAATCACTAAGTAGCAAGTGAATGTGTCGTTTTCTTGTTCAGCAATCGCGAGGTTTTTAAACAGCATACATTTACTTCCATAGAAAGACACAATACAATACAACACTAGCTGACGTTTCGGCAGTATCGCCTTCTTCAGAGCCGCTTTTTCGTGGAAATCACGTGGAAGTCACGAAAAAGCGGCTCTGAAGAAGGCGATACTGCCGAAACGTCAGCTAGTGTTGTATTGTATTGTGTCTTTCTATGGAAGTAAATGTATGCTGTTTAAAAACCTCGCGATTGCTGAACAAGAAAACGACACATTCATATTCCAATGCCGAGGTTGATAGAAAGTCGATCCTGGGAACTATTACAAGTAGCAAGTGAGTTGTACAAATCTCAGTGGGCAGTTTATGGAAAAATAAAAAAGTATTCGAAAGGTTTATTGATGTTTACAATATCTGTATGACATGTATGACCTGAAGAATCTTTAATGATTGACCCTCTGACGAACACATATATCCAGTCGCCATTGTAGTGTACAAGATCTACTCAATGGACTCTGTTTAGTTGAAAGACGAGACCAGCATCACACATTTCTTATGCTTTATTTTATTTTCATTGTTTGCTATAAGCACATATAAAGTAATTAAGCGAAATTCGCTTTAAGAGCATTGCACACTCACAAGTAGTTTTTCGACCCGTAACCCTCTCCTAAGTGCTTCACCATCACTTAATTACATACTTTGGCCGAATCGACAACCGGATGGAATACGCCCATACGTAAGCACATCCGAACATTCATGCTTGAATATGACCACGTGAAACACGTAAAGGTCATTCCAATGCAAGAGAAATAACGATTATTCCATCACATCTGCTAAATCCATCGGCTTCTCAAGACAAGCGCAATATCGTACCTAGTCAACATTATGCCTCTTCTGGCGGCAGCAGGGACACGCTAGCAGATCCTTCATGTAGAAGAATCGGGAATGTTTTCCGTGATAGGGGGAAAGAAGACATGAGCTCTCAACGCCGGCCGGGTGTGCCGCAATTGTCGACAAACAGAGACGGAGCGTAACAGCGGAAATGTGCGGAAGCCGGTGTGTGTGACGAAGTGGTCAGTGGGATTCTGCAACAGCGACGGCTCGAACAGCTGTTTGGGCGGCGACATTTGTGGTGCGTCACGATTATGGTCGGATGACTGCTGAGAGCAAGACGAATAGGAGGAGGAGGAAAAAACACCCGAGCGTAGCACACAATCACTATTCATCTATCCATGCGCCTGCATTTTTAGCCTAACACGATGAAGCGAACAGCTTCGTTTTCTTTCAGAGAAAACGGATCATTTCAAAGTCTCTTGTTTTTCTTCAAGCGCAACCTAATGAATTTGATGTAATGCGAAAGATGACGAGAAGAGAGAGAAAAGCTCGCGCTATTCAGTAATGAGATAACAGACTGAAGACGTATTCCAGCTAATAAAAAGAGAAAAATTTCAGGATCGTGGGAATGTTAGTAAATATGACGAGGAGTTCATTTACGACGTCGATCACAACCCCTATTTTTAGTGTTCGTCATAAACACTACAGCTCATCGATTCTTTCAGATACCAACGCAGGATGAAGATCGAGTTAGAAAAAGAATGCTGAAAAAGAAATGACCAGTTCCTCTCTTCAAATTCCAGTCGCTTGATTTCGTGGATTTGCTGCCATTAGCTGGTGACAGCTTGTACACCTCAGGAAATTTGTTATAGTTAAGTTGAAGAGCTTCAGAAATAAACTAAACCACTTAGTGTTAAGTGCATGATCGATAAATCGCGAACATAAAATCAACTAGGTTGCAAATGTCTGAGAAATGCAATCGCTTCTACAAAATAAGAGATTTAAGAAAATGAAAATAGGGTGAGAAAAGGCAAAAAAAAAGTGAACTCTGTGCGGTTGGTCTCCACGTAACATATTTAGTGGAAGACTCATAGAAAGCGGCGAGTGTGCAAAGACTCTGTGTTCAATGTGATTGAAATTTTGGTTCAGCATTTTCTCTGTTTGGTTATGGAGATGTTTGGCCGTGTAGATTGTAGTCACTTGACCTTTCCACGCTCTGAGCAAGGCGAAATCCGCCGAAACGTCAGATTGTACGTAAATAAAGAAATAAAATAGCACCTCGTGTTTGCTGGACGGAAGTAGAAAGAATTATACAAAAAGTATCAAAAAAGAATGATAAAGTGAAGCAGTAAGAAGGAGAGAGAGAAAGGGATGACGACGGATGATGAAGATCCGAAACGACAAGTGTATTTTCTATCAAAAATACATGTAGTCGGACGAGGAAGTCCTCGACGTCAAAACAACAGAACGAACATCACAACTCGGCCAGAGATTACTCAAGTAATAATTATTACTAATTATAATTACTATCATAATTAGTCACAGGCACCTTTTCTTCGTGCTTTTTTTCCAAGAAATAACAAGTTCTTTCAATTAGAACAATGAAACAATCCCATTAACAACTAGTTGTAAATGTGCACTTCTTGCTAAACACCTATAATCGACTGCAATAATTCAGACGGAGTTCTGCCAACCAGTTCTATCCCTTTTAATTTCAAGTTTTCATCAATTAGAAAATGAATAATGAAACATAAACGCACAGACGGAATTGGTGTATAGGAAACGGAAAGGGCGACAAAGTTTGAATTTGCCCCGAAGGAGAAAAATACTTCGCAGTACTTCTGTCTCAGTTACTAGTTGACCAAACGATGCTCGTTCACGGCACTACTCGTACTCGCGTACTATTCACTAGAATCAAAACAAAACCTTCGAACTAATTGTTGTCATTTCTAGCGTCGAGTCCCTCAAACTCACTTGTACGGCCGCCTATTTCAACTCTGTTATTATTACTCTTAGTTCAATTACTAGCAGCAGACTTATTGTTGACTTTGTACAAGAATGAGAGTTAGTGCTAGTACTTTAATGTTTTGGATCTTAATAGTAGTAATGATCGTTTAACGCAATGCAAACGTTTTCGCAGCTTCTCGAGCTTCGTAGCTCGTCATTTATGGCGGCAGATAATGGATTATAAATGTAAGATCCGAGCGGTGAAAGGAAGGACCATGACATTTTCCCATATCTATTACTACTAGCTAATCCGTTAATCACATCTAATCACACCACTGTTCTCATAACGAAAGCAAACCTATTATTTTTAAATTGTAGTCAAGAAGAGATGAAAAAATGAAAGACATAGTACGAAAGATACGGCTGGCTTTGTGATCATATCTGACAATAGAAACATATACAATTAATGGACGCTCGCAATCGGTGGTGAACGACGTCGAAGGGGAGGGGCGACGCGCGAATGGCCTCGCGCTAGGACAACGCGCGAAAACCCGCGACGACCTGTGGCCACCGTGAGAACGCCGACGGCAACACGGCGCAACACGGCGCAACACGGCGCAACACGACGGCAACATGACAGCGCACCTTTCAGACATGAAGAACGCAGCACCTCGACGCTGACGTGGCTGAACAACTCGGCTGAGTCATCTGCTTCTCATTACATACCGAGATCACCGCTACATTGACTATGCGTATATATATATAATATATATATATTTGTGTGTGTGCGTGTGTATATGTGTATGTTGTGTGTGGTGTGTGGGCAGGTGGGTGGATATTCTAACGATCGAATTCAGAAGCAACCAACAGTCAAGTACTGCCTATGATGGTAGTACTAGTAGATGTTAACAAGGAGATAGTAAGAAGATCTAAACTGCGTGCGATGCACATACAACGGTTAAAGTAGGTTTGAATGAGAAACAGATAAATCGTTTTAGGAAATGGAAGATATTCATGGAACACGACGAGGTTAAATACTAGCCCATCACCGTGACGTTAAGCAAGTCATAGCGACCCAGTTTGGTTCCTATAGCGCAGTAAAGTGCTTCTGTCATTAATATTTTTAGATAGAGAGTCAGAAAAATATCCACAAGTTATTGCATCAGTGATAACAGAAATGATACTGATAACAGGAGGTTTGCGGAATGCTCACGAACGGAGCATTCTGGAACGAATTGGCTTCGAATTAAATAAAGATGAGGTTAAAGTTGTTGACCTTAGAAAATTTAATTAACTTGGGGCCTATAACACAGAACTTTAAAAAAAGTAAGAGAATTAAAGATCTTAAAAGTGCGAATTTAACTTCAAGGATAATTCTTCTGTTTTAGGCACGTGAATAATACTTAAAATAACACTGATAGGACTACGTTGACATCGACAAAGTAATCAAGCTTAGTTCATTGATATCCAATCATCTGTGTTTGTATGAATTACCGGCCTAAACCATCGAGTCTCAATTTATCACCGAAAAGAAACAAAATGCGACTTCTGGGTTCATTCTTATTCTAGCGGTCAGTGGTTAAATAGCGTTTTGAGTGCACGCATCGTAAATCGTTGGACAAAAAGAAAGGAAAAAAAAGAAAAGGAATCACAATGGGGATGTGGTCGACCGAAATGCCTTGGAGCGGGCGACAATTACCCGAGGTGCCGAGTGTTTCTTGGCGTTGCCGGCCTTTGGCGTAAGCGGATGCAGGTTAATGACTTCGCTCAACGCCCTTTTCATTAAAGAGATTTCGTCTAGAACACGAATTGGACAAATCGCTAAGCGAAGAAGAACACAATCAAAAAATATTTCAAGACAGAACGCCTTAAAATCCTTCGTCAACAGAGCAAGTGAAGAACTACGAAACTTCTAACCACTTGGAATAGTCGGACTGCTGAGTCGAAAGTGAGGAAAGGAAGCGAACGAAGCTCTACTAATGATAGTCAGCGAACTGAAAGCAAATCATTAAAAAAATCACATTAGATGTCAAAAATCTACGGCTGAATTCATCGTCGTTAGCAAACTAACGCCTACCAAGGAGTGTTTTATGCTTTTGAAGTCACGAGAAAATGTTCGACATCACACGGGTAACCGAGAAAGAATTCATAAGCTTTCAGCAAGCCAGTTGCTGAATTGAAACGGATGAATGCCGATTAGACTAATTAATTGTCTTACTGTAATCCATAAGCACTGTTGTCAATAACTGGAATCATGCATGGATTAGGCCAGTAATTTTTCGTCACATCCTCGCCCATAGTGATTCGGCCATTCATCATTTTTGTGCTTTGGGGTAAAAGGGGAAGGAAATCAGCACGAAAAGAGAAAAAATCGTCGCTGATGTGCAGATGGCGGCGAGCGAGTGGCACTATCGTTCTTTCACAATGAACACCTCTCTTTTCGAAATTGTTGTAAACATGGTGAATGTTCTGATTGATCTTGAACATTGTGATGCCTCCACTACTTGTTGCCCGGTCAATGTTAACGGCGTTTATTTGTCCGAAGAGGACCGGTTTCTCAGCGAGATCATTGAAAGTTTGCCCGACTTTGCCGTTGTGCAGATGACTGAGATTACGTTAGCTAACGAACATGTATCCTCACCGAAGCATTTACAACTATCTGAATTGGTAATACGAGGTGATGCTAGAGTTACTTGCTTTTCAACAGTTATAGCAACACATGAGGCTGATTGGATAAAAGCACCAAAGGTTTTAGAAGTTTGAGAAAAAACTTAGAGATTTGAGGAGCTCTAACTTCAACAAAGAAAAACCTTTCTTTTGCTTCAGCGAGATGAAAATTATAGAAAACGGACTATCCCAAATACTTCAATACTTTGACTCCTGTGAAGAAAGTTCAGAAAAAAGAAAAGGACAGCACACTAAATCAAGAATAAGTGCCTGCCTGATTAATTGAATAGTCGATCGAGGATTGACGTCGGGATTAGCGTTTGACTAGTAAAGTCCATTACAATGGAGAGCAATGAAGAATTCGTAATGTTTGTTTGTTCACAATGGATATCGAATGTCCGTAAGAAAAGCAGTCGACACTTGAGAACGAGACGTGATATGTTGGAGAACTGAAAACGTTGAACGAATTAAAGGCAAGTATCGCCGTGAGATTTGAGAACTCAACGAGATATAAATAGCCGAAATTGGAGATGTATAATTGAGATGAGAGGAGGAACACCCGACTAGAAGCGGAACGCTTATCATTCGACAATACCCATCCCCAGATGGGAGAGAGCGCCCGCGTCTAGGGCGGGAACACTTGGAGCGACAGCGGGCGAGCAACCGCTTGCGAGATTAGGTTGTCGCTAAGTAGCTGCCATCGAAGCCGAAACATAAGTCATCCAGTTTATCACGCAGAACGTCGTCGCTTAATGAAGAAGACATAAGCATATAAAAAGCACGTAGAGAAATGGTTTCGAATTTCTAGCTTAAGAATTGCCACACTGAGCACAGAAATCGCCATCTCTATGAATGAGGAAGGCTGATATTCGATTTATCGATTGATGTATTTTCATTATCAAGCGTTTGTATGGCTTGGATACAACGAAAGCAATAAAAAATGTTTACATAACGAGAAAGCATGGTCATCATAGATCAGCACTCAACACACACATGTGGAAATTGTAATCGCTTGGTTAGGTACGGTACATTTTTAACAAACGGTCCTAGGTATTCTCAGGAGGGTCAGTCGGACGGCCCACGAGTAATCCATTTGAGAGCGCTTCGTTCTTCAATTTTCATTATTTGGACAACATTGGTTGTAGTGCTTGCTCACGTGAAACAATCCATCACTTAACGGAAGGCATGTGGCAAGCAGAGAGAGGAAAAATAACTGATTGCCCATCAGCGACCATCCCAATCTTTTCATATAAGTGAACAGGAACTTTTTCCAAAATGAAATTTTGCTGAAATAACGCTGTTCGTTTTGAGTGAATTCTAAAAATGGATAAGACAGGTAGAAAATCGAAAATCAATAAATATCTTAAGAAAAGTGGTGATTTTCAATAAAAACTAAGTTAAAAGAAAAGATCAATGAAAAATGATATGGAGGGTTAGAGATGGCCTTGAGAATTTGTGTCGCACCTTTACTCATTCATTGCGTCATATGAACAACGTTAGGTGAATGAAAAACGATGAAACGAGTATAAAACATCGCTGGATGAAAAATGTCTAGAAAAACACGGATTTCGCGGAAAATAGGAGAACACTGAAGTAGTCGTTCTTCATAATCAGTTGATCAACACCGGTTTGCGGTCTACTGTACTCCTAAGTTGTACTACTCCACAGCAAACATAGTGTATCAGAAAGATGGCAGTTCAGCAATATTTTTCTTTTTCAAAGAATTAACTATGGTTACGAGTGATAGAGAAATTAAAGCCTCCTTTTTAAGGTATATACATATACATATACATATATATATATATATATATATATATTCTAACAAGAGCATACTGTATGAGACAAGTTCCATTGCAAAGATCATCCTATGTAACGAAGAATTATCCGAAATTCTAAAGCGGTAACCTTTCTTATCCAATTGAGCTATTAAATAAAGCCTTTTTCAAAAAATATCACCTCTGTATCTAATTCATGAGGCAAAAAATGCAAAGTTGGAAGATCTTAAGGTGAAACTGGTAGTATCTAATCGAATGGACTCAATTTGGTACTCACTGCTACTAATTAGGAGTATGGGTAAACATCTTCATATCAACACAGAGAATTCCACAGCAAACATTTTAGTAATTATTGAGTAACAACTTTATCAGGATTTCTTCATAGTGTGTACAGAAGTAAGGCGGTTGCATGAGAGCTGATAAAAGCGCACAGATGAGCACAGAATACGGCGGTAAACACAAAGGCTAGTACATGGGCCATAAGGTGTGTCAACAAACAATGTCGGATTTCCTGAACATTGCTTCCTCACCCCACTCCCATACGGGATAGCAATCTACATGGTCATTTGGTCAGAAGAACCAGAAACATAATTTATAGATCAGATGCTTGATTAACGGCGGATTTTGGCATTTGATTCCTCTACGGAATGGCATGACATACCATTCATTAGATACGTTGGAATGAACGTGAGAGGTTTAATTATATTGCTAGAGAACATCTTAAGAAGTCATTTTACTAGTGGACATGAAACTTTATATGAATAAAGGTGCATGTAGTTACAGATTTGAATAGTATCAATATCACAGTTGTTTTATGAAATGGCGCAGTTCAGTTTAATTTATTGCTTTGCCCTTACAGCTTCCAATGCCATCTGGTGGAAATTTCCAAAATGTGAGGACCGTTGAGAAAACAACAAAATTGGAAACCCATTTTTTCGTTCAGAGATTTTTTGCTGGCCAAGCGTCTTTGCTGTTTTCTTAAATGATTGATAAGGAAATGAATGTACGACACATGGTGTGTGTCGCCAAACTGTGCTTGTTTTAAACTGAGTTCAGGCGTACTCTAACTAATCGAATTTGCCTACTGTGTTCTTTGAAGCGAAGTGGAAATATAGAACTAGAGAGAGAACCATCTACTTAGGCACAGCGAGAAATAAGGCAGAGATAACTACTCTGGATGGTAGCATTTTTGCAAAGATGGATGGAACTTGAAGAAATCGACAATGGCGAGAGTGGCTTGTTTCACTAGATAAATTCTGGGCTTTTCCTATCAATATGTTCAAACTTATTGAAATACTCGATTTCCCTTTCGATGGTATTTCAGAATTCGTGCGTAGAATTTCTAATTAGGAAGTTGCGTATAAAGACTAATATTACAGATTATTATTATGATAAGGTTTCTCAAGCGCCTCATTACATGTATGTTGGGCATGTATGTATATATGGATGTGTATATCTGTATATACGTGTCTATATTTTTGTGTGTATGTATGCATGTGTGTGTATGTACACGCGTGTTTGTGTTTACGCGTATGTGTCTGTAGGTCTGCGTGATGTGTGTGATGCGTGCATGTGTTGTCAATGCTGTGGGTGTTGTGAAGTGACACCTGCAGTCATCATACCCCAAAGATAATACCAGTATGCTCCGTTACCCACTATAAGCGACTCTAGTACATTTTTGCGTGATATGAACAGCGGCACCGGCTTACCATTTCTTACTCGTACAGTGAAAATCTAATAAAATAAATTTCATTTTCTCATTTTTTTTTTGTATAGCGAGCCATCTTGAACTTATAGATCAGCAGATTATAAGAGCTTCATCGTAAAGATAATGATTTGTGAGAAAATGCAAGCATACTGTAGAAAAGAAATTACGTGCTAACTTTTCAGCGCATCTGTGGCTTGGTGGAAACAAGACGAATAGACTTCAGTTTATCGACATGGCTATCTTCCGTGTCGCAAAAAGCGTCGTCGATTCCAGTTATGAGTCAGGGGAAGTGGCAGAAGAACGAGATGTTAGAACTGTTACGCACGATAAGCAGAGAAGTCATGATAATTACATTGTGTTGAACTCATGTCGCTTATCCAGAACCATCACTGCTGTGTCCTACTTATTTCACAGACGTAAAATCGTTTTGTCTACGTCTGATTCCGTCTTGGTCAGCACTTTCGCAACCTGTGAGAAACACGTCGTTCTTTTCGGCAGAGTGTGGATTTTTTGTCCATTTGAGAGTCGAATTATGGAGAAGAATCCAACGCGAGAATATAACAGCAGTTGTTAAACGAGAACAGAGTTTTCTTGCCCGAATCGGCGGATTAGCCGTCTTAATTTGCTCTCACTCTCAGTAGTGACCGCTGCGCAACATTCTAAGGTTGTTGGCAACGTGTCATTTATCATGTGCCCATCTGGTTAGGTGCAGGGTTGGCGATTCTATCGGTGTGGCAGGCGGCCGGACTGGCGGGCGGGACGTGGGGCGCATGCATTGAGGGAGTCCCGACTGAGCAGAGGCAAACTGGTTCCATTCGGGGGAAGGTTGACAACAGGGAGCGAGCAAACGCTCCGCAAATTCTTCTTACTCATTTATCTGAGAACAAGTCTGTTGATGACTTCTATGGTGTTCGATGGGAGAGGGAAAGCTTATGAGATGGAAAAACTAGAACGCTAGCTAGAATCCCCTTCTTAGAATCTCTTTATCAAAATTTTTTCCATCAACTTCCCTTCTTAGGGTACTCGTAAATACAGACAAAGTCTCACTTTCCATGGAAATTGTTCATTTTTTTCTTCCCAGCGCTTTACCGCCTCATCGTGGCTGCGAGGTGTTCCTGGGTGTCGGACTGCGATGTACAGCGGAGGATTCATCCCCTGGCAGAGTCTCCCAAGCTAAGAAGGAGTCCGGCGTTTCCATCAGGAAACCTAGCTGAGAGTAAACCAATACCAGGATCCACCACCCTCCGGGTATCAAAGTCACAAGGTGACAAATCCCCTTCTGATCCACAAGGGCTGCGACTGCCTGTGGTGGTGACGATCTGGGGCGTACTTTGTCTAGGTTGACCTTGGGACTCCTGGAAAACACAGTGGCTTAACCAGCAGAACTCCGAAAGAATGGAGATTATACAATGGCCCGCACAACCAGTGAGGATGGGCCATTCATGCGTCAAGTGTCAAGTGTTCATTTTTTTCCCTAAAAAACCTCTAAGAGAAGGAAATCTAAAAGTGGAATTCTGAGAACCATCCACGCAGAGCACAGTTTACCGCTTTGTTGAAAATATAACTAGTCGCTATGGTTTTCCTTGCCTGTAATAAAGTTTCCTAGATAGCTC